AAAAATAAAAAAAAAAAAAAAAAAAAAAAAAAAAAAATTTAGCGACCACGCGTGACTCGATTTTTTGTAAAATTTTAAAAAATTACAATTTTCAAAATCGCTATGTAAATTCCGTGGGTAGAGGAAATAAAGTTGGTTTTCGAAAGATCGCTGCGGGAATCGGTTTTATAGGCGACGATATTGTCTGACAGGCACAGTTTGACGTTGGGTAATAGATACATGCATGAATGCATACACAGATAGGCGGGTAAGATAATCGAGACGTAAAAATAAATCTTCCGATTTTCCCCGCCTCTCTCAACCGGGCAATCGATCTGCGTCTGAATAAATAAACGAACGAACGACGTCTGCTCCTCGCGAGCGGAACTAGTAGCCACGATGAAAACTTACGTGTATCAAATACTTTGATGCGTCGACTGTGATTGGCGCGCGCGACGGATCGACGCTGACAATCTTGTAAACGTTTAGAAGCCGAGACGAGTATTACCAAATAAAGGCAAAATGCGAATCTTATGGGCAAGTTATTTGTAAACCGGTCCCGATGCAAAAGGTTGTGCGGTTAGATCCTGTTAAGTCAACGGTGTATAAAAAACAAAAATTGTACTTTGAGGATCTGTCAAATTAAATGCATATACATTCAAAAAATCCAAACTCACCCAGCTTATCTCTTAGGCCAATGCACTGTGATATGTGCGGAAACTGCAGGATCTTCCGCCATTTCTTGCTCTTTCCTTTATTGCTGTCACCACCGCCTACCAAGAGAAAATAGTCGTTAAAGAAATATAAATTTCCAAAGAAACAATTTCGTGCTACAAAAGTCTAAATATAAAATGCACAATCCGACATTGATATACTAAAGTGTATAGTTCACATTTTTTGCAAATTTAACATGACGCATTCCGCCCTGGGCTGCAAGGTACATAGTGTAAATCTATATAGGTAGATACCGTGCTACCCACAATTCCCAGGACTACATTTCAAATCGAGTAATGCTACTTAATTCATTAATCGGAACGGATTTTGTCTCTATGAATTTTTGTCAAAAATCAAAATCTCAAAAACAAGGAGTCACACCAAGACCTCAATTTCGTGCAAGGGTCGGATACTCGATTTACGAAAAAATAAAAAAAACCAAGCTTGCGTGAATTTCATCGCCGACTCACTATCGCGTTAGACGATCACGCAACTACAAGTGAAATGCCTGTAGTCAAAAATGCTATAGGTGAAGTGGGATCTATCGAAAAATATCTGTGTCTCGTAAAACCACGAGGATCCGATAAATAGAATAATCAAGTATATATATATAAAAAAAAAAGTGGAGCCTGAAATGATTGTACCAAAATAGAATATCGCGGACAGAGTATGAGTATCTAAATTGGTCGTAGCTAAGTGTACGGTATGTTTAGTCACGTCGATAACAACGTGATGATAACAATAGCCAGGAAAAGAAGAGATTGACATGAAGTGTGCATTATAGAAACATATAAATAAAACAAAATACCTAATCAACCGTATATACATAATTTAATGAATCCAATAAATTCGAGAGACTGTCCTTACTTTGTGCTCATATTGAATTATCCCGTCTTTACGATACTATCGAGATTTGCGTTTATCGCAATCGCAAGATGATTTTTGGATTACAATATTTTGTCAGTACACCGGTAATACGATAATGCGAGGAGATTCAAGTGCATTGATATACATGAATATATTTATATGCTTGACATTTTTATTAATACGCATCTATATCGATAATCCGTGTTAATTACCGTTTAATCAGATCGAATGATTAATCGCACATGTGATTATCACAGAAAACGTCATATACCGAACACTGTTTGCACTCTCGGAGTTACGGCACGATAATCAAATATATCAACGTGCATGATTACGCACTATGTTATTACGAGTCAACGTTGGCTTTGCGCGAGATAGTTGGACAATTATACCGGGTGTAGGTAAAACGTAACACACGTCCTTAATTTCGTACAGCAGAAAGCGTTATCAGATGTCATCCTCGCGAAGATCATGAATTCCAAGAAAAAGAGAGAGTATTCGAGTACGGTCAGAAAGACCACTACTGATTTCCAAAATTAATCAAAATTCAGCGCGGACATTATTATTGTACCGCTACAGTGTAATCGCGGTAATAAAATGTCCGATATCGCGAAAATATAATTGGAGAGTATCGATTAGACGTTAAAAACTAGTTAATCCAGTTCAATTAATTGGAAGACTCTTAGGAGCCCATTAGCATAGAAACCAAGTAGGTATCCCTTTTAAGCTGTAGCATCATCGAGGTACGGAGAGTCCTTGAAAAAGAGTCAAGAAAAAAGATTTTGCTACTGAACAAGATTGAAGTGCAACGGCGAGTCGTTTCAAAATTATAGAAAAAAAAATATAGCTGATCCCGCCTCTGGTCGTTCTGAAAATGTAGTGTCGTACAGTAAAAAAAAAAATTTTGCCATCCCTTAAAACGCATCTTGCTTAGACAGACCGTTGAGTAATGTGACGTCACCGCCGCGCGATAACTGAGAAAAATGAGAAGACAGTAAATAAATGAAAAAAAAAAAGGAAAACACCTATGCGAGAGAAACGGAGCAAAAAGAGTCATAGTAAAACGATAGGACTAGTGAAATATTTCTCGTGCCATACAAAAATAGGTTCACCAAAGCCCAAAGGCTCGACCGGTATCCATATACAGTAAAAAAAAAAAGATATCCACATTAAAAGCGAGAGTCGGAGGACTCGTATTTCCTGCATTTGATCGATACCATACATATTCGAGACACGTAGCTACTTGGAGGAAAAAAAGCAGTACGCATAGAATATGAAGTGTACAGAAAGAGGAAGAGATGTAGAACTAAGGAAAAAGATTCCGAGAGAAAGAGAGTGGGGAAGCATTATATATACATATATATTACATATTTTGTATATATATACACAACGTATAACGCCGTGGTTGCTTCGCGGAATGAAAAGCAAACATGATCCTAGTACGATATAACGTCGGTGGTACCTCACTTTCGTTTACTCTTCCTTCATCCCTCACGGGAGTCGCCACTGTCGCAGGGGTATACATATATATTAAACGAGACGCGACTAAAAATGCATGGATGCGCGTGAATACAAAATTCGAAAGGCTTTCGGCGGTCGTAAATACGTTCGTTGGGTGACTGAGTTAACTTTGTAATAACTAAGATTAATAATGACTAACCTAAAATTAAGTACGAGTCTCAGGCGTTCGCAAAGAAGAGGTACTCGAGTAGCAGCTCGTCCTCTCGACTCGAGTCTGTGATACTTTTTAAGAACGCGCGGTCACAGCCTAAAGCCACGGGGCAATGTAACGAGCGACACGACTAAAGTTCGATTTACAAGCGTCGCACGTTGATTAACGACGTTTAAATGGTCGTAACGCCAATGTGTCTTCCTGACGGGAAAGTAAATCGCGATGTAAGCACGTTCTGGTCACCCGTAGCGATACTGGTTACGATGCGAAGTGGCACGCAAAGACAGTCCCAGCGAACAACTGCCCCAACTGCCACGGTTCCCTACCTGCTGGGAAAATATCGAGAGTCTTGTTATCGCAACTAGTTTACAAGGAACGTAACGGGAACGCTAATACGTAGTGACACGAATATTTTCTAGTCCCGTCGAGTCTGTTTAGATTTGACGTTAAGTTGACAAAAGGGAATTGTGTTTACGGTACGTATCATCGACGTCGCGTTAAACAGTACGACGATCAAATAAACGAACGACGATATCGTAATGTCTCGTCGATGGGAATATCTTAAAAATGAAAAATCTGGATCACCGATGGGTAAACGCCGGAACCACGTGCTTCTCTAGGCACGTAATTTGGGATTACTGAATTTTACAAAATTATGTTTCGTATTTTAAATTTCAAAGTTACGCGCTTGGTATGACAATTAATACTGTATACTTGTTTTTAGTTTTCAGACGGTAAACTGTTGGTATTTCGTGAAAATTCAAGAACTTAGAAATACGTATCTTGCTTTGCTAATTATGAACGAGCGAATGAGATTCGACATACAGATCATTGGCACGAAATCGTAAATCGTGCACGTGGTTGTACAAACATGACAAAATAAAAAGTGAAAAAGAAAGGTGGCGTTGCTAGGCTTCCAAGAGTGAGAGAGAGAGAGAAGAGAGAACGAGGCTCAACGTTCATGAGTTTTTCACAGGCACAAGTTCACGGTTCCTGTCGCACCCTCGGTAATTTATAAGTCCATAAAATGAAGACGTGTTTACGGTACACTTCATCGGCGTTAACTTAATATCCCGACGATAGGATAAACTGTTGTGCGGAAGTGTAAATCGGGATGGAGCTGGGATTCGCAAAGCTTTAAGAAATGGCTTTTGCCATTTTGACATTATTTAAAAATCGGCAAACTCGCTTTAAGAAATTGAAAGTCGGTAGAGGTATGGTATGGTGAATAATGAATGACTGTGGGTGGTCATGAGTGTCAAGTGTAGCTACGTCGAATTGATTGGATTGCTTGAGTATCTATCGTCGGGTCGGCAGGTTTGAAAGTCACCGAGAAAGGTGGTACGATCGGCGACGTAGCCATTGCTGAATGGACTAACCGAATCTCATGAATACAAAATGTATGTATACGCGGGAGACACGAGACTTCCCAACTGGCCGTCGAGTAAATTGCTTATCGAGGCGTCCAAGGGAAGGATTTCGAGGAGGCTCTGGTACGTGAAATTAACTTCCCACGCTTAACGATATGCAAAAGCTCGATGGGAATACGTGAGAGCTAGAGGAGATGAGATATACGAAGAAACTTTGAAGGACGCAGAAGCATCGGTCAACGCATTTGCGTGTACACCGTAAACGGATATAAAATTTTTAGAAGTCTCCGCCAATGCAATTTATAGGAGATCGGATGAGATTATATATCACGCGAGTACAGCTTGCCGCGGAGGGTATAGAAAGTGTGAGAAATCTATGACAGTATCTTGGGGGGGTTGGATACATTGGAGTAATAGTAAATTCGCACAAGGTCATCGGAGATAGGACGAGGAAGCGCTATGAAAATGCTCGTAAAAGCGTATTAAATGCATTAAAAGAGTATATATAGATACGGGAAGTTTGGTTGGAGAGCTTGAAACATAATGGCAAATGGGGGTAAACGCGGTAGGTGACAGAGGTCGGCGAGAAAATCGGCTTAAGAATATTTTGTAGATAGATGCTACGTCATACTTAACAGACCTTCTCTCGCTTTGAGGTACACAGTGTTGGCTACGATGTTCTCCAACTCCATCAATTCCAGCTTGATCGAGTTTTCGTGGCCGAAGTAGAGAGAAATGCGGAAGATCGTGCCACGCGTGAGGGAGATCGCGCACAAGAAATAGTAAAAGAAGATTTCGTAGAAGCTGGACAAATTGAAGAAGCGTGGATGACAGGAATGCGCGCGAGGTTCGTACTGTGGGGCTAATCACCCTGTCGGGCACTGGGAAACCAGCTCCCATCTGCGGCCCTGGCCACCGCAAGGGTAGATCCCTTTTTCTTCCTAAAGCGATGATCGAAGGGATGACGTTCCCCGTTAGTCCTGGCAGAATGTGCAATCCGGCCAGGTTAGTTGGTGTGCCACGTGGTGCTGCTGACTATGAATTCTGTAGTAAATTCCTTCTCGTAGTTCTGATTGTTGTGTTGTCAGCGATCTCCGGTGTTTCTTGTGCTTTCAATTTTTGCCGTTACTCCTTAGACTGCACTATCGTTGTCTCACTTTTACACACACCTATCGATACTGCTTCTCTCTTTATTCTCACTCAATTGTCCGTCGCAGCACGTTTCCCTCTGTCCTCTGCTTTCCACGGTTCTTTCCTCGCATTCTGAAAATACGCGTTATACATGGATACCGTGATCATGAGCGATGGGAGCACCATACTCAACGCAGAGAAATTACTTGCTACTTTCCCAACGGTTCCCTAACGGAGAATTCGCAAGCGTCTACGCCCATTTTGCAGGATGCCAAGGTGATATGTCATTTGTATGGGAAGACGGTGATGGATCGCCTTTTCCGATTACTCACGAAGGCAGTGGAGACGGATACATTTTGAACATCCGGTGGATCGAGAAGATGTGTCTGATGTATGTGGAGCAGGTGTATCATGCATGATAAGGGTAACGTTGCATCTACTGTTACGTAGGATGCATCTGGATGATAACCTCCACAGAAGGAGACGATTGTTCCGACAAGAGACAAAAATGTTAACTCAAATGTAGCACGTATAATAATCTTTCATTAAAAAAATAAATAAACTATGTAATTCCATACAGCTGTATGTCAGAAATCGTTAATTCGTGAAATACTTTAAGAAAGTTCATCGACCTCGAATTCTTAGTAAAGATAATTAAATTTTGCGAAAGTAGCCGTAACATCACATCCGGATATCAAACCTAAACTCCAACAGAGCAGAATTGGAATTCGCTCCTGAATACAGAGCTGGAATTCCATCGGACGATAACGAGCCTGCAGGACAACACAATGCAATTCACTCCCCTTTTCTCGTGGATGATGTACACACAATACACGTACTACACGCGTCTCTCAATCTGTATACTCAAACGCTTGAGATCACCGACCGAGAATCTATATGTAGGGAATGAGGAGCGGCTCTATACTAGACTATTATATTATGTATCTAGAATGTATCATCCCATAGGAACCGGCGTGCCACAACGTGGCGGTACTCAACCATAAGATGTAATACAAAAATAGGCACTTTTAAAAACACTCTTGACGCAAACACAATATGGTACGAATAATTAAAATAGTTGAGAAATGTGTACATACAATAGTAAAGGGGTAAAAGACACGACGAGGAAAAGAAGATCGTACGCTTAAGCCTTGCCGTCAACTAAAAGAAACAGGAGTGATGAAAGAGTAAGAAGAGATAGAACGGCACGTCACTAGCAGAAGACACTATTCGAACGGAAATGGGCGTAGATACTCTCTCCATGTACAGAGGGGTAGTAATTATCGTACGTACTAGTTTCGCGAGACACCCCGTATATTCGACACACCAGACACACCAGGCACCGTGTAGGCACACCGACGAAGCGCAATGGCCGACCGCGTAGCAGGGAGCTTCGATTTTTCGGCGAAAACTATGGAAAACTCAGCCTTTCCCGACACGGGAAAACTCGCGATCGCGTCCCACGTAAGCTCTTCTGTTGGCTGTATTCGTGATTCGGACTCTCCTAGCGATTCGCGAGTGTTTTCCCGGCGGTTTTTCCCGAAAACGGGAGAGGGAGACTGTGCGTACAGAAAGTCCGGTGTATCTACTTGCTAGGCCCGTGCACTATGCGAGTAGGGGATCAAAACGAAGTGGCATGCTCGGAGAGAACGAGGCGCACCAGAGTGGGAACGGACGTGGTGGAGGTAGTCTACGAGCAAGACAGACTCACGAGAAAGCGCCCAAGCAGAGAAGAGACGAATTGACTCTATGGTACGAGGCGTGGGGAGGCGTGGGGAGACGAGGGTATTGAGACTTCACCATCTAGCGGCAGACTGTTCAACTACTGGCGCTAAACATGGCGCCAGGCTAGCCGCCAGATTCGAAGGAATCTATGGCGGGCTTGTAATCAGCTAATAATATTCCAGGGGCGGTTCTGCGCTGTAGCTTCTTGTTCTCGTGGACTATGCGAACATATATATTTCCCGTTGTAGCTGGTAATCGTCAGGAACAGCTTAGTGTACAATAAAGTCTATTATAAGTCCAGGAAATTGGCAATGATTTCGTCGTTAAAATTACGACAATCGTTCAAGCTGACACTTTTGCATCGTCATCTGCTACAGTGGTTCGATGTCCTGCGGCTTTCGAGGTCACAGATCCAAGGATAGATCCATAAATCGTAATGAGCCGATTTTGAATCATAGCACCAGTTTCTTTCCATTTCGAAAATAAAAGGTAATCAATAATTCATATTTCAATACTTTCTTAATAGCTGCTTGCCCAATCTGACAACTAATTTCGTTTAAATACACTCAATCAGACATTTCAAAAATTATAGAGGTATTAACAAAATGGAAGGACTTCAAAGTAACTATACTTTAACCATTCGTCATCGAGAAGCCTTTCTAACTTTCGATGACGTATTAGTTGGGACCGATAATCAGTTACGGCACTACAGTTACGATCCCCCTCTCTCCCTTCACCTTTCTTAAGGCCTTTGGGACCCCTATGGAGTTTTATGGTCCCATTGGGCCCACACCGCAGTCTCATGCCCAAAGCATGCCGAGAATGCACCGTGGGCCGTTTTCACTAATAGCCAGGATAATTACTTCACCATGTACACCAAGAGTCTAATACGGTTACGCATCGACCAAAGCGTCTTACAAGTAGCTGTTAGGTTAATTATATATTTTTTACACACATTCTCAACGCCGCAAGGGTCACGATCAAACGCCAACATACGAAGATAATGACAAAGAATCACCAAAAAGAGGAATAAGAAATAATTAAGGCCAATGCCCGATCGACACTCATATCCATTTTCGTCGTTCAAGAGATTCTTTGTAGTACCTAATACACATTAATTACAGTAATAAGACAACAATTAAATAAACAATTAATTAAGAACTTCTTTTACCCTTCCATAATGTTATTCGAATTGGAAACTTTATCAGCCATATATCTCATGATAAATTTTTTATTAATCCTTTTGTTTATAACATTATATCTTTTTCTAATTTTAAGTTATTTCTGTCTGTATTATTTAATACGTATGCAAATATATTTTACGTAGTAATGATATTACGTACCATAATAATCTTCAGTTTCTTAATATAGTTTCTAGTAGTAATGTAATGACGATTGATATCAATATCTGTACAGTTGTTATTTATACAGTCGATCTTTCAATCGTTTGCCTCACACTCGATACCCGCTTTGGAAGACAAGCAATCGGCGATCGGTCGATGATTAATTCAACAGCGATATCGCGACATTAATCAATCGCAACGCTCGAGAGTCCAGGGCTGTACGCTCAGTTGTGCAATATCGAACGGTACGTCGAAAGTATCGAATAATGACCACACACTGACCACAGGAGGATCGATGCTGTCTCGCACTTTCTATATCTGTCGGAGATTCTTATTTTCCTTCTCTTGATCAAATTTCAACGGCCGCTTAACCCATTAACGCCCAAGGAAAATTTTTTCCCCCTTCCCCATACCCTTTATCGAGGACAACAATTTTCAAATATTTTACCACAATTCAACAAAAAGTCCGTAATATCCATTTCTGGCTTTTCCGGGCTGCCCCTTTTTTTTTGCATGGGGGTTAATGAGTTAATACTCTTGAAGATTTTAAATAAACCCTCGGGCATTGTAGCACGGCCTAGTTTAATTACACTGGTTTAATTAGTTATAGGCTTGAGTTAATTTTTATCTTTGGTAAACATGAATTGTACATTTTGTACATTTTATTTTAATTTAAGAAAAGGGACTGGTAAATAAGGCACGTCTGATACGGAAGGTAAAAGGACGAAAGTTTTTACAACATTGCCCGAAACGTGACTTTCCTGTAATATTAGCTTAAGGTAATTAAATAAAGACGAGATAAATTTGCTCCATTTCTGTTTATGGTTAAAAAGCACTGTAAGGGTTGTTTTTATTGAAGTTTAACAATCGCCGGTATACCGAGGTTAATTTGACATTTTAAAAGCGGAAGTGACGTATTTTACACGGAAATATATGTAGCCATCAATTAGCGTGGCTTTTTATGGTTCGTACCGAACAACTAATCCAACTCAAAATCTTTAAAGAAAATTTCGAGTATCTCTCGCACGAAGATCTGAAGTCTTGTGCTGGTAGCTCGTTTGCCACTCTCCTTAAATTTTTTTCTGTATTATTTTTTTCAGACAAAAATAATCCTTTCAACGTGAGAATCTTCTCATCTTTCCCAGCAGCTATCGTGCTTGACAATCAAATATAAGCGTGTCTGTGAATAAGAAGCGACAAGCGAAAAGGTCAGATATGAACCTAAAAATGAAAAAAAACATAGTAACGTTCGGATAATCTTTACTTCTCATAAATTTGCAGCATAAAAATTTTAATAATAATTTCTGTTTAGAGAAATAAAAAAGAAATACAATAAAAATGAATAAATATATTCTCTTTGTATAATATAAAAATCATTATAATTAAACGTAAATCCAAGATTTATATTATTTCTTTTGTTCGAACTACAAAAATATTTAGAGGGATTCAACTTCGTGGGAATTTCGATCCTCTAAGAGTCTAAGTCAGAATTCGTACGCGATCTGCATGCGTGTCTACGTGACGATCGACATGCTGCGTAAAGTTCATCGATTGGCCCGAGAGAAGTGGAGGAAGAGAGAAAGACGAAAGAGAAAAGTAGAAATAAGAAGAGAAAAAGGAAGGAAATAAAAAAATTGGACAAATTAGATGAATAAAAAGACATGCAAAATGGTTGGAAAAAATGATCCAGAAGGCTCGTCGAACGTCATGACGCCATGTGTTGCTCGTGCGTGAAGTCATCGCGTTGTATCATACGTTATATACGACATGGGATTGCTATGCGTAACTCCAGAGGAAAGATATTACACTGCGTGAGATGGAGAGCACGTAATCAGTTGTCTGCAGTACATAGGGCGAGAACGAGCGAATCGGCGAGAGCTCGTTTGAAAATCGCGGCTAAGAGTACCGCGGCAAGATTCCGTTGATAATTTGACATCAAGTTTATTGAAATGATACTGTATTGTGAAAGCATACCGATTGATTAAAGAAAATACCTGCAATTATTAAAAATATCTCGTTAATTAAATTTGCAGTTTTATTTTGAAAATTAAACAATTTTTTATTTGGATATTGTATTTCAACTACTGTACATTTATTAAGACTCGTCAAACGGGGGTTTAGGTAATGATTGAAATTAGCAATAAATAAAATATTGGAAATTGTGTTACGTCGATGCTTTGATAGAAACTTAATTTACGAGCTTGTTTGACTATTATAGGGTTAATTGAATTTTGCACTGCTTAGTTTGCAAATTTCAGATAAATTCCTTGTGGAGAGTATGTGCAAACTACGTGGGTCGGTGCTTCTCTGCTTGGTGATAATTTTGGGTCTGATAATACTTATAGAGGGTAATAATGAAACGATTTCGCGAAATCGCGCGAAAAAAGCGCAAATGGTGAAGAAACTGAAGAAAGATCTGCGAAAATTGAAAAAACAGGATGGCGCATTGAAACTGATAGGAAAAAATAGAGATTACGAAGGTAGTATAAAAATGCAGAAAAAATAATTTTTTTTTGTCTATTCTTATCAATTTTCTTTAATCTTTAATTCAAATCTTCATATCTCGAGTCATTAAACGTCTTAAGCGATACGATTAAATTTGTACAATAATGATCAACTGTAATTAACCGAGATTAGGATTCTTAGAGATGTTAAAATTTTCACAACGACTGTACAACTAACTTTCCAACAGACCTATAAATCTCAGGAAGAAATGGAGCGGCATGAATGGCCGTTTTTATCAGTCGTAACTTATGGACATTGTGTCACGTCGATTAAAAAGGGGTCAAACTTGCGGAAGATTTGTGTCAACGAGTATATCTGTCACTTCGATACGATTTGCGTTCTTCGTATTCGTTGAGATAGATTTCCAAAAAAAAATCGTTAAATGCGCTTTCGATTCTTTAATTTTTCAAAAATCGACAAAAAATCAATCATTCGTGTGTATTGTTGTGTAAAAATAAATGATAAGAATAACCGCTCGAATACACAGTACGAATTCGCATATGTGACATATCACTATGATCGCTATAAGAAAGTACTTTTTCGATGCAATATAAAAGCTATGCAACGGACAGCTCATAAATTTTCATATACATATTTCCCTTTAATTGCCATTACGCCAATAAGAGAATAAATCATTTTCCTCCCAGTGGAAATTAAATTCGAGTATCATTCGAACGAACCGAAAATGCATTTTCGTCTGACAGGAAACGTCGAGATTCTCCACGATGGTAAATGGGGTAGCATTTGCGACGACGAATGGGATTATTTAGAAGCTAATGTAGTGTGCAGACAATTGGGATTCGAAGGTGCCGTAAAACCAACAACGAATGGACATTTCGGCCAGGCGAGAAGTACGATTTGTATTTTACGAATAAAATTTTTAAAAAATTATTTCTAACATACCCGAGTTCTTAGGACGTTTTTGGATGGACAATATTTATTGCGACGGTACCGAGGCTGAATTAGCAAAATGTAGATTCGACGGTTGGGGTACCTCGGATTGCGAAAGTAGCGAAGCAGCAGGTGTAATATGCAAACACGAGCAAGAACCGACTATAGCTCCACCAGTTAAAAAGAAGGAACCAAAAATCAAGATCAAGGATATTCACCAACAAGGAATTGCAATACGTCTGGCGGGAGGTCGTGTACCTACAGAAGGAAGAGTCGAGGTGAAATTGGGAAACGGTGGTAAGTAAATTTAAAAAATATATATATCCAACCATAAAAAAAAATTTCAATAATTCAATAAATTATACAATCAATAATTGATCTTCAGATTGGGGAGTAGTCTGTGGCGATGGATGGTCCCTATTCGAAGCTGGTGTAGTTTGCCGTCAACTTGGTTTAGGCTATGCATCAGATGCTATACAAACGAATTTCTTTGGGGGTCAAAAAATGCCTATGGCTGTCAGTGGAGTTCAGTGTCATGGAGATGAGGCAAGCTTAGCACACTGCCTCCACGAAAAGACAATACAATGTCCAGGTATGAAATTTTGTAAATTCCATTATTTACATGTCAATAGGTTATGCCGTAAGTGCATAAGAAATAAATAAGTCTCTCAAGTTTATCTATATGGTATTGCATAATTCATAGCCATGAACTTTGACGACTGATCTAACATATTTTATCTATCGATAAGTCATATGTGTCAATCGATTACGTATTATCGATTATTATTTGTGTATATACAGGCATGGCTGAAAACGTGGCTAGTGTGGTTTGCTTACGCGACATGGCTGATCTCGTGTTCGATCACATCGAACTCATGAGAACTGCCCATCTGGAGGACAGGCAACTCTATTGGCTCCAATGCGCGATGGAAGAGAATTGCGTGGCGTCCCAGGCTTATAGGATCCAACGGGAATCCGACAACTGGCACCTGGAAACCAGGAGACTGCTAAGGTTCACCGCAAGAATTCTAAACGCTGGGACAGCTGATTTCAGACCGGCTGTACCGAAGCACCTCTGGGAATGGCACATGTGCCATATGTATGCTATGAGGATTTTTTAATATTTTCTTCCATAAGGTAGGAGCATTACTGTTTTGACGATGGAATCATGATTTTAGGCATTATCATTCGATGGAAGTATTCGCCACTTTTGACATCATTCATGCCAATGGGACTAAAGTGGCTGAGGGTCACAAGGCATCGTTTTGCCTGGAAGATAATCAGTGCATGCCGGGAATCGAACCTAGGTATGTCAGTTCAATTTTTTTTTTTAAATTTGAATTATTAACACTATGCGATAATTTTCAATCAGGTATAAATGCGCCAATTATGGAGATCAAGGTATATCAGTGAACTGTAGCGACATTTATAAACATAACATAGACTGTCAATGGGTGGATATTTCGGAATTGGAACCAGGGCAATATACGTTTAAGGTAAGAGACTCGTTTTTTGATTTTGATAAAATTTTAGTCACGAGATTTAAACATTTTTTATAAAACTCATTCGACTCATTGGTTGGTGTCGACCGTTATCATGTATCAGGTCCTGAACTTTTTCCGACTGAATACACATCGATGGACCAATAATCAGCATCGATTTGTCTATCATTTATAATTCGCACTTGTGGATCAATCATGCATACTCCAAAAGATCCCTTGGGGGATCATTAAACCTTGAAAGGGCAGTAAATTTACTCCTTTTTATTATGAAAATTATCCCCTTCAAAAACTATATGATATTCATATCACACAGTATAGGCTCCTATGGTCCATCCCTTTTGAAGTTAGATTAGCCATGTATGTACAAGGACACTTCATTTTGTCAAGGGTTCTACAGACAATATGTATAATCCTAGTTCCAGGACATAGACTAGACCCCAGTCCAGTTTGTTGTGTTACGTTAAATTCTTCTAGCAAAGTTCCTGTCCTTGTTCTAACCGCAAGAATGTATTTCAAAATTTCGTCCGAATGATTATTTTCTTAATGGCTCGCGATAACGTTGAACAAGTAACTTCCCGGCCGGTTTTACGAAATTCTAAATTGTCTTGAGATGTATATTTTGTTATTCCTAAAGAAATATGAGATTTGCTGTCAGGGACTATAGTGAAAAAAAAAGTATTATAATTTATATCATTCTAATCGAATTTTGTGATTACGAGGTACTTAGTTCGTACAATGCTTGTCTGTGTCACTGATATAATACGGGTTAAGGTTGAGCAGAATAAGATTTAAAAAAAAGTTCAAGTGAACAATGTGGATCGTGAACATGCTTCGTTACAGTCATATTTGAAAATTTACTAATGATCGTTATAAGGATTGAAAATGCAGGGATTAAAGGTACTTTTTTTAAATATTCATAAATAATTGCTGTATAAAGTTAACATGATAACCTTGAGGTATATAGTCGGTCGATTTGCTACGAAAGTTAAGGAAGCCTTTGGAACGTCTTAAACGTTAATCGAATACGACGTAAAGTTAATGACGTTCATTGGAAAGGAAGTATAAGGATAGGTTCAAGTTGTGTCACCAACGAAAATGTCATTTCAGATCAGCGAGTAAAATTCATTCGGAGACATGTAGGCATTAATATTCTAATTCGACGAAAGAAGAGCAGGAGAGCGTAAAAGAAAAAGAGACAAAGAAAAGTATAATAAAAGAAACAAAAATACTCATCTACTATACTTCGTATTATATTGATTACGCGAGTTGTACATTGTTACATGAAAATTTGAGTTCTGGCTATTATTTTCAAAAATAAAACTGATTTACGATTCTTCTCTTAATATTGACGTTTCTTTGATTTTTTTAGATTTTTATAAATTCAGACGTCATCATATGGATATACGTCTTGTGAAAATTTAATTTTTTCCATTTGTACTGCAAATCTATATAATTCAATTAGTAGAACTTTTAGCAATTTATTTATTTACTTTTATTTAATTATTAACTTTTCGTCATTCATTTCCATGTATCGTGCATTTTGGTATAACCTTCTAACTACTGTGCTGGTAGTGTATAAAATAGTTCTAATTAAAAATAGGGTAATAATTAATTGATAATTTGACAGGTGGCGGTAAATCCGGAATTCAAAGTGGGCGAGATGACATTTGACAACAATGCAGCAACTTGCAAATTATTATATACAGAAACATACGCCACTGTCCACAGTTGTGTAATGGAACGACCATAGATTTATTTTGAGAAATTCTATACCAATGAATAAACGATAATTTCAATAATTAATCCTCCCTCTTTACCCTATTTCACTAAACCCCGATACAAGCATAAGTATACAAATCATAAGAATAGCCTTATTCTATATATTTATTAAATAGATATGTCTCGTCGTAAAGCATTGCGATGCGATACAGTCAGCTGTTCGCATGTTGTCCCTGACAGAGATACCTATAGCAGTACGGTAATCTTACGCAACCAGTAGCACGATAAACATATACGAGAACTATTGTTCTGATTAAAAAAAAATCATTATTTCCAACTATTAATAATTTTGTTCCCGATTTTAATTTTTTTTTTCACTTCCCAAACAACCTTGAACGATTTCAATCGGGCGACCTGAACTGTCGATTAGGCATTGTATCTTCTTAAATGGCTGCACAATTCCAATGGCTAAACGCTTAATTCGTTTAAAGATGCTAGGCCAGCAGGAATATGGCTTCCGTAGTAACAACCCCTATGCAGTGTAACACCTGCCTCGGTATAGTCATGAAGGAACATCTGTTAGTCACTACGCAAGTTCCCGTATTAAATTTAGTCTCTCGATACTGTCAGACCGATCTGACGTATCTTAGTGTAAGCTTGAAAAGGAAATAATAAAAAAAAATTCCCTATAAAGTTATTTGAATTTATGGGGTTAATGACATATAAATGAAAGTGAGAGGCGAATGTATTTTGAAAGTGTAAAATTGGTAACGTGAAATAATTTATACTCGTATCGAATCAGTCGGTTTCCCATTTACAAAAATTTATGTGTCATTTAATACGTTATTAATGATTCGTATAAATCAATGTCGTTCTGATATATATGTTGTATTATAATTCAATTGATTTAATGGTAAAAGTATACAACACCGTTATCCACCATTTGTTCGACTTATGTGGCGGAAAAATCCCTCGTTTTGAACAGTAAAAAGTTTGAAGTTCTTAAGAAATAAAGAAGCTGAATACAATGGTGATTGTCATCCATTGAATGATTTTAAATTTAAACTTTTGAAAAATGTCACTTGTATTTCCCACGTATGTGATCTGGTGCTTATGTTATATTTGGGCAAAGTTTTGAGTGAAGCGGCGCTGGCGTAAGACGCCAAGAGGGTTGGAAATTACTCCAAAGCGGATATCGACTAAACAGAAGAAAGGGAGAAACAAACTACGTTTACTGCGAGACAGTTTCACTCGATTCATTTTCTTTAACCATTATTTCTTATGGTTCGCGATTCCTAACTTTGACTCTCGTCTGTTATCATTTGTCAAAGTGTAAAAATGTTCCGGAAGATCATTCTTATCCTGTACCTACTACGACAAGTTGTGACTATCGAGGAAGTCATGTGTTCCGGAAATCGTACGCTACTGGAAACGCCGGGCGATGCTGTAATATCGGGTGAATTAGCACGAATCGATATATTATATAGTTTTGATAAAATTGTTAGTATAAAAAAATTACAAATTTGGAGAAACTTATTTAAAGAAATGAATATACATTTTTTTGGCAATTTTTTTTCGAAGGTCGTTAATTATGGTTTGGCATTTCGTAATTTGGTTATTGACATATTTTTTTTTTTAGTATTCGTCGATGTGAATTATGGGCCTTACTGCAATATTTCTTCGCCTAAGGCATACCAGGAAGTTGCTACGGCACTGTACGTTGTGCAAACGTTAAACAAGTACGACTACGTTCCTGGAATCTTGCTTGGTACGTCAAACCCTTGTTACAAGGGCGCTTGTAAAACTCGTGTTATAGAGATTCAAGTCTGTCACTTGTCCTAGAATTTCATGAGGATAAACTGCACGTAAAGGATACTCTGGGAAAGAGTTAGATTTTAGGGGAAAGTAGCTACTCGAAAGTTATGTCAACTCTAGTATAGAAGTTTGAGTATAGGAGTTGGAAAATATTAACATTGGAAATGTTTCATAGTAATGATAATATGGGAACATTAGAAAATATATATATATATATATATATATATATACGTATCTATAATTTTAAAATAAATTACATTAAAATAAGCAACTTGAAGCATTACGTAAACGACTAGCAATGCTTTATACACTAAAAAATTTCAATGTTTCCTGCCACTTGATATTCCAGCTTCTGATGAGGGAAAATTGATTTTTCACAGGAGTAAAAATCTTCGACACCTGCCACGACAAGATGGTGGTTTATAAGCAGGCGCTTTTGACAGCCGTTGACCTAGAATGTGTCTCCCACTACGAGATGGGAATTCTCGTGGCAGAAAAATATCACGGAGTCATCGAACCACTGCAAAAATACAGTGTCCTACCTGTCAGTAATTACAAAGATGAAAATTTGACAAAACCATTGTTAAATGTCATGGTGAATTTCCTGAGCACGAAATTCGAAGTAGTCGATTTATTCGTAACGTCATCGCAATACATTCTGGGACATTTTCTCGAAGCAAGTAAAGATGCTGGAATCTGCGTGAAGAGTTATCGAGAAATTATAGAAGCAGATAACGAAACAGAAATCACTATTGTTCTGATAGGAACAAAAGAGGAGATTAATTCCTGGATAAATAATTTCGAAATCGAAATACCTGAGGCAACATGGATCATTTTATCCCTCGACGATTCGAATATAGATGGTAAGCAATTTAAAAATACCAATTCCAAAGACGTTAAAATCTCATTAAAAAATTTGATCAATAATTACTTTCAGACATTGCGCCAGTAGGATCCTACGTGATAAAATCTGAATCATTAACGTTCGATCCGCTACAAGATCCGTTCGATGATAATTTCCTCCCAAGAGTGGGTCCTTCGATAATTCATTCTCCATATATACTAAGCATAGGAAAGTCCATAATAGAATTGGCCCAGGTTCTACAAGATATTCAAAAGCGAACCTGTCCAGATGGTGGAGCCTGTACACTACCCCATTTCAATAGTTCGCTACGTAAAGAAATAAGTAATGCAGAAGTCTACGAAGCTCTCCACATTCTACCAAAATCACATTCCATAAGATACGTGATAGTTCGGTACGATGCCAGCGGAAAATCGATGGAGGTCAGGAGTTATAAGATCGACGCAAGCAAGTACAGAATAAAAGCAGAAACGGGTGAGACGAAGATGTCAAAACTCTGTGTAGGAAAATACCTGAAGAATTGTCGTAAATGCGCAAACTTTCAAAGACGCGCGGACGCCAGAAGTCTCGTGAAAAATATTCGAAATCATGGTTTCCTCAAAGCAGCCGGATGGATACCGATCTGCATGACGATAGTTGTTTGCGGCACGTTTTCCTGCGTGGTCATAATAATCTTCATAATATACCGATTCTTCGTGGACGAGGTGCTCGATGGGAATCCTGCCCTGACCATCGTCCTCATCCTAGCCACCATCTTCATGCTTCAAGCAGTTTTCCCATTTTGTATGGAAGACGAAGTGATGGGATCGGAACAGCTGAATGCCAGGAAAATTTATGTCTCTACGTTGTCGATCGGTCTGGCATTCTCGACGATGTTGTCCAGGGCTTTGTTTCTTGCATTTTCGACAGGAGGACTCTTGACGAAACACATTAACGGATATCTTCAGGGCCTTATGGTCTTTTTCATGTTCGGTGTTGAGGTCGCGATATCGACCATGTTTTTTATCTTGAATAAAGAAGATTCAGCTGTTATCGCGAGAAGCTTGATTTTCGTGGCTTTGCTGGGTATGATATATTGTAAAATATTTTTTATTCAAATTATTAATCGTTATCCTTTCAGGATACGATATATTTCTCCTGGTGACACTCTTCGTCGTGTGCTGCTTCATTACCCAGATACGACGTAACTACCGGGAGGGAAAGTGCTTCTTTGGCACAGTCATTGGTCTTCTGATTATTTGGGCTGTTTGGGTGACTTGCTTCGTTCTGATGGAACCTGAAACTAGAGACACAGTAGTCACTTTTGGTGTCATCGCCACAGCTTATCTCATCATCATTGGAATACTCATACCAAGAACTTATTACATGGTGATTCATCTTAGTAGAGACAAACATTTTGCCCAGAGATTCGAACCGGCTGATTTGGGTCCTGATCCCAGGATGAACACCGTAGCAAGACAGGTCAGGATGATGCAGAGCCCTAATCCTGACATGTGGAATCAAGGACCCGCTCCTGGGTCTCTGGCATTTTTTTAAAACTTATAAGTCATTTGATTCAATCAGATCACAATTATCTTCGTAAAATCTAATCATTCATCTATTATCTCACGTATACAACGCGTGGATATATTTCCATTGTCCTGTATATAAATCGTCCTTTCCTATATCTCGACAAGTTTTACTAAGGAAAGTTGAGAAAATCGAAGGAGCTAATTTATTGTGGGTTTAGCTCGGTCCCTTCCAATTCTTAACTCGTAGCTCGAGATTAGATTGCCTAGTCCCGGTTGATCCCGTCCATATACTTCCTAAGGTAGACGACCTCCAATGATTTTCAACCTTAAGAAGAGACCACCTTCTAGGTACAGTACCCGACAGTACAGCCTCCATATACAGTATTTATTTCCTTATTGCAAGCCCAATAAATTATACGTACAGTTTGCGAAATATTAACCCTAAAATAATTATTTCCCAATAAACATCTATATTTAGGTCCTTTCGTGTTCTATAAGAAATTCCAACTTTTTTAATACTCTTTAAGACCCGGCTACCGTTCTACGACTACGTACATCCAACGGAAGGTATGATGAACGTGGGTAACCTCAATCCTATGAGATATCCGAATTATTATGGAAACTCCAGTCCAAATCCTCGATATCTGACTCGATGCAGAAGTCCCGATACTCGACGAACACCAGGACACAATAACTATGGTTTCAGTTCGGAGATGCGAGAGGTTGAGAATTCTTACGTGGTACCGCGTGTCTGCATCGAAAATCCCGAGGTGAGTTTATCGCTCTCATTCGACTTTTACTTTTATAGATTTTCTCTATGGATTATATAATTCCGTCCATCCTGACAATACGATTCTATCAGGTGTTTTTAGGGATAAAATATATTTTATTTTTACCAGTATTACTTTGCTCATGTATTTCTTACGACTCGGTCTGATACTTGTGAGATCAGATTAAATGCGATTAATCAGGTCGTTCCGTTGGGTATAGGGACGACGAAGTCCTATCGGAAGGAACAGTCTCGACGTGGGATATGTACAAGCTAGATATCCTAGAAGATCGAAAATAGTCATGGGGGAAAAGGATTGTATAGAGACTGACGTTTACGTCGAAGGACATTTGTCTCCAGGTCGTAGAGGACCTAATGAGAATTATCCATCGAGATGTTCCAGTCCTAAATTAGGGCAAAGTGAAGCTACCATTAGAGAGGAGGCTGAGGATGATGAAGTCACGAGAATAACAAGATTTTAACGAGCATTCTCTATTCTCTTCATCCTTTCTTCGTACTACAGTGTGGGTATACATTTTGTCACTATGAAATAAAGTATTTGAAATATTATTATTTTTTTACATTTACCCAGATACAAACAAATTTCATAATAGGATCATTGACGCATTGAGTAAATTTTTTTTTACAAAAATAGAGTCACAAAGCTACGTTACATTTGCGATGACTCTGATAGGGTTTTATAGTATCGCAGGAATATGTTTTTTCCATTACTTCCGCCTGTCAGTATAACGTATCTTTTGGGAAAAAGGTGTCAAGTGTATTTTTCGCATGACCGTAGTTTCCATTTGTGTCTATCAGAAGCGAACAGACCAAAAAAATCCGAGGTGGTTGGGAAAGATTCGTAAATGGTGGATTGTCGCCGTTTCAGAGTCTCTCGAATTGTATTAAGCGTATATCGTAATTTAGCAATCAGAGCGCAGGTGTGTGTTTCAGAAGGCTGATGGGAGTTCCCGATGGAAATGTACGGGAAACTTGATAGCCATTACCTCTCAAAGTCCGATATCTCATATTGAAGCAGGGTATTCGTGTTTCCCATGTTCTAATGTTACTAGTTAGTATTCTCGTTGCGGCCGTATAGCTAGGATAGACTTTTTGAATTAAATAACAGGACTTCGTAAATTCAAAAAATTATTATATTTTTATTTACTACGTCACGTGCAATATCTACTTGACAGAAGGAGAAAAAGAAGAAAATTAACTTTGACGTTAATAATAAATTATGATGCAGATTTGCTGGGTCAAAAAAACATGTTTTCTTTATAAAAACAAAAATGTTAGCCCAGCCAGTGTCCCAATGCGCAATGTCGGACGGGTACACTCGAGCCTGAAAATTCTGAAATTACAAAATCCCGCGGCTCGATTATTCCGGTCCATGAGGTCACCATAAACAGCCATAAAGTCGCGGGAGTCTGTTCGCCTAAGATAAGCTGGTATAACCGAAGGAAATCGAAAAGTGCAGCGATTCGTAAAACAGAGCTACAACAAAGCTGCACGTATACGTGTTCTGCTCGCGGATACAAGCTTCTGCGCAGGCACGTATCTCAAAACCTATAAAAGGAACGCCATGATCGTGAGACTTGTCAGTCAATATGTGAAATCCCTAGAAAATGCATTTTTCTAATATAAACTTTGATTGTATACGCCTTATATTTCGCCGTTATTGAGAGACTTGGTACCGCGGCCATTTCGGAGAACGTATTTAAAGGGCGTATAATTCGCTGCTAAAAACATAATGAAGCCAATCTGGCGATAATATTGAGGTCGTAGTTAAAATATAATTAGTTTGAAGTTATCTCGAGCTCATAGGCCATCTGTGGTAATATGATCGCTGGAATAATGAGTTTTGAAAATCTGAGAAATTCCCGCGCGGTTCTCGTGACTGTGGTTTACCTCAGTCTCCTTTTGGATAACATTCTTCTTACGGTGGTTGGTGAGTAAAAAAGTATTTCATTGAATTTCAAAAACAAAAATTTTGAAAAAAATTAATTTCCGAAAAAAGAAAGTTAAAAATATTTATTCTCGTTGAACTTGGTTAAAAAAGAATTTTTACGGGAGATACTAAAATTATATTATTTCAGTACCTATTATACCGGATTATCTATGCACTTTGGAAGGAAATTCAACAATAGACGGCGAACCCGACGAAAGTGGCCGAGTGGGATTACTCCTAAGTTCAAAAGCATTTATTCAACTTCTATTGAATCCAGCTGTAGGAACTCTTACGGGTACTTTGGGTTATGCCAAACCCTTATTTCTCGGTACACTCAGCCTCATGTTAGCGGCATTGCGTAAGTACCAAGAATAGAATGAAATTGAAGTTAAAGAAAGTATTCAAAACTACAAATACTTAAAAAAAAAGAAAAAAATCGTAAAATCACATTTAATCAAATTTCCGGTGACTGTAGAACGTTTTTTTTTTTTATCATCGACAAGAAATTGACAACTCATTTGTATTATCAATTAATTGAAATTCCACGTGGTTCTAATTCTTAATTAGCTCAAATATTGATTTATCATTTGCAGTCTTTGCCTTTGGACAAACGTACGAGGTCCTTTTCCTAGCAAGAAGTGTCCAAGGTGTTTCTTCAGCATGCATAGGCGTATCCGGCATGTCCTTAGTAGCTTCTCAATACCCCGAAGAAGACAAAAGATCGAAGGTCATGGGTTTCGTTCTAGGAAGTATAGCCCTAGGTGTTCTTCTAGGGTATCCCATGGGTTCAGTCCTTTACGATTTGGAAGGAAAGATGGCACCCTTCCTATGGGTATCCTGTTTCGTCTTAGTATTGATCTGTAAGGATTCGACGAAAACCGATCGGCAGAACACACGTGGCATGTCTGTCATCTCAGGAAACACATAATTGCGGTCCATTACTGAGCCGTTATTGGCCTAGTTATATCCAGGGTTATTCAGGAATATTGCGTAATCTGAAGTTAGCTCATCCATTTGATTCCCATAATACAGCCACCTTCGGATGGTTCAATATTCCCAAATGACCCAATGGATAGCCAATAGCAGTTCAGAATTTAGGGATTTTATTAATAACGTAATTTTCTCTCTAGGCTTACAACTATTGAGTCTGGATTTTCATCCGAAAATCGAAGTAAACAAACAGTGCATTATTACTTAGAAATACATAAGCTGGTAAATATCCTATAATTTACAGGATATTTACTTTCAGCAAATGGAGGATGACACCGGCTGGACCCATTTACTATCTAACACAAATATCCTCATAATATCCGGAGCAATATGGTGCTCGACTTCCCCAATGGCCATTTTGGAACCATGTTTACCAATCTGGCTAAGGACTCACATAAGGCCAAAAGTACAATATACGACCTATATACATATATGTATAACTAATTTATTTTATTATTAAAAAAAATTAAATTATAAAATTTCCTTTTCAGAAATGGCAACTGGGTACTGCCTTCATTCCGGATAGCCTTGGATATCTCGTGGGTACAAATTTCTTTGGCGTTATTGCCTATCGTTATGGACGTTGCAAAACTGCCGTCTTGGCTATGATCCTCGTTGGATTTAGTGCGATTTTGATACCGTCTGCTACAACAATGTCACAGCTGGTCATTCCGCATCTGGGCATGGGTTTGGGTATAGGAGTGGCTGATGCTGCTCTGGTACCATTGCTGGCAAGTTTAGTCGATCAAAACGTCAACTATGGTCCCGTTTATTCCATTCAACAGGTGGCCGTCAGCTTGGCCTACTCTTTGGGTAAAATGACATACGTTTTCTAAGCTTGAAGTTTCATATAATTCAATCGGAGCCAGTTGTTTTCCGAGTACGGGTTATTTGAAGCAAGAACTTTGCTGAGTGAGAATGAAAAATGAAAATTATTTTTCGACAAAATTCAAAATGGCTATCGTTACCTTTGTAAAAATTACCTCGATCTATTTTTTTGTTCTCTGATAAACACAATCCAGGCTGTAATCAATATAATGCAAATGAAAATATCTCTAGCATTTCTGTAAATGATAAAAATTATGAATTTTACAATTCCATCATTTTTCAGGACCCATCATGGGTAGTGAGCTGGTTCCTGCCATTGGATTTCCGTGGGTCATGAGAATCGTTGGATTTTCAACTATAGCATACTGTCCCTTTTTAATTTACTTGGCACTAGAGAAAAAGAAGCCATTAGTCGAGGATGACAAGAAACACTACAGTTCGTTTCAGCCACCATCTGCAAACTACGAACGTTTCTACGACTCGGACGATGGACTTTGAAAAAGTCAAAAACCACATATCCAATAAATATCACTATATTCCGCAAAAAAAATGTATCCCAAAAAGAATTCTTTTATCATAATCATATACATGTCATAAATTCTAAAGCGAACGCTTGGAATAATACAAATCATCAAATAGCCAATGATCGTACAAAAAAAAAACCGTATTCACTCCAAATAAAAAAATGTAATACGTATCAAATTTCAAAATAATCGATACGATATTTTAATCAACAATCCTAATCCTGGAATATCTGTCGTTGATTATGACGTCATAGAGAAAAATTATCTTCACGTTAAGTTCGAGGCTGTTACGTAACAGAGCGTTCCATTATCCTTGTATCGGCAAAGCTCCTCGACGTATCTTTTGTCCCGTTTGGAATACGTCGAAGGAATCTTCGAGGGTGTCGGATGCCGTGACGGGCTCCTCTAAGTGTACAATAAGGGCTGCAAGGGTTGCGGGAGGGAAGGCGGCGCCAGCCATTCGGAGGGTTGGTTTTGCTCCGCAGGACCGATTTAGCGAACAACTCGGTCATCGTTAGCGTAGACATTACGTTAATGACGTAATCATCGAAGTCGTTGCTTCGTGCGGGTTTCTTGTATACCAAGTGCCTAATAGGTTCCCGCATACCGCGGTTATTTCAATGTCGTTATAATATTTTCCGAAAATCCTTCCTTTCGCATGTAAAGTTTCCCGTCTTATATTTCGAACGAGTCTATGGCATTATATCTATATATAAGGTTCTCTACCTATCTGAACTTTTTAATGAGGATGCTCATTCGATTCCCGTAGCCCCACTGTGTCTGATGTACAGTCATAGTAATTAGTATATTCGCAGTAGAGCACGAAGTCTGATTTAGAGATTAAAGTTCGTTAAAAAATAATTATGAAAAGATACGTAGATATAATTGGCCTTCGTAAATCTTATTTATTACCATGATTTAATTTGGTTTATAGAATTTCTCCTGAATTCTCATCTAACAAGCACGCCGAATAAACTTTATCACAATGAACGATAGCGATGGATGGTTAATCATGATTTGTTTTGAAGTACGCTAATAAGCGATGCTGTTAATTTTCTAGATTCGTGATTCTGCCGACGAAGCTCTGGGAACACCCTAATTATTTAGAGAAAACATCAATCAACCCTTGAGGTAACTTTGCCCGGTGGAGCACGGTAAATTTCAACGGGATGCATCAACCGTAATTGTATTATGAACACACCGAGTATGTAATATCAGTCAGTGTGGAATATTGGGTATCTATTTTAAAATGGTTACTTTTTATACCTGTTTTTAATAGGGAATATCGATTTCGCAAAACGTCGATTTCACGTGAGAATAATATGCGCAAGTAACCTCAATATTTCTTTATAATAAAAATTGAAAAAATAAAGTATCAGGTTAATTATAAATTATGGAAGATTTCAAGGTTCCATTAAAAGTAAAAAATTAAATCTGTAATGTATAGTAAAAAGAATACATTATAAACACGGTGACACGACAGGATAGGTTCGTCAGATATAAACGCGTGTCTAGCCATCCGCTAGATTGAAAACCCTTAAAGGGCTGGTGAGTGTTGCGCATGATCGAACGATCCCACATACTCCACTCGTTTGTTGTATAGAAGATATACGAGGTTCGTGCATACACAGAAACTCCCTTTAGTGTATTAAAGAAATCGTGTTGATTTTGAAAAATCAAAGATACCACAAAAATCATTGAAATTCGACTTCGAAATTTCTAAAGGTCTTTTCAGCTGTGCGAGACAATTGGCAAGGAATAAAAAAAATTTATATAAAAATTGAATCTTCAAAAATTTATTTTCTAATAATATTATCCCACCCGGTGAACAATCACACCGCGACAGTGGGTACGCACCGAGACAACCACTCCCACCGAAGAAGAGAACCTTACCCCGACAGCTTTAGGGGAAATTCTCTCTAAAGTTCGCACGAGACGCAGGGATGCTGTGTCCGGGACCATACTCTACTATCGATCTTGTAGCCGACCGACGTACACACTCCCGGCAAGAAGCACGTACACATTAACACAGACGTGAAAGCTCCTATCCAACTTTCGCAACCCCCACCGATGCCTGGCTTCAGTAAGCTCAGAGCTTTCGGCCGGTCTCCTTCATCAGCCGTTCTTCTCTTCGTCGTCGGACGGACTTCACGGCGTTCTCTCGTGCAACAGTACAAAGTCAAAATCGACCGAGTAAAACTGGATTTTATCCCGTGAAGAAGAACGTGGCCGAAACGGAGACACGAACTGATTTAAATATAACTGATATATCGAACCCCGATGCAATAAGCGTGTCTTGCTGTAGGTGATCGAAAAATTATAAATCGCTGGGGTTACGCTATTAGGAGATTCGTCCTGGGACGCGAAGTCAGCTACTGAAGGGAAAACGAGATAATCCATTCGTGATATTTGATTGTGAATTAGAATTCAGATTCCAAGTTTCTATTGTACAGGTGGTGTGTATCAGCTTGTTATCATTATTCATGATCACCCTTAGTATCCAAAAGCAGATAAGAAATTCGTTGTTACTAAAGAGACTGGGTTCTCGTTACTTAAGGATATCACGTTGGCGCTATTTAATTATATATTTTCATTCGATATATCGAACTGGAGCAATCATTTTGGGGTGAGATGCTTATTTTTCTTTCATTTTTTTCATTCTTAAACTACGTGAGTCAAGGCTATATATTATCAATTGCTCATTAATTATCTGTCACTTTTTCTTACTCTGCTTCTACCAATCAGGAGGGTTGATTGGAAGATTTTTCATTAAATTCAATTTTTTTCTCTGACGACCAAACGCGTTACTGGTATATTATAGTAGTACTGGTATATTAAGTACGTTTGTATATATATATATATATATTTATATATAGCGTCTGATATATGAATGAAATATGCAGGGGATGTACATACTCGATTTCTTACACTTTTGCATCGGGGTATCGAAATGCTTTTTTTTCTAGTGACGACTAAGATTTAAAAATAGGAAACGTACACACGTTCTTATTCCTTCAAAAAAATGCCGCTATCTTCATTCGTATCGAATGCCTGAAGACACCTGAGTCATACGGATATGAAGCCAAATTCGAGATAACGGTACAGTTATAGATTAATAAGACAACCACTTGTAAGAGTCAATATTAGATATGCTTATATAAATATTAAGAAAGAGCAAGAGCATACTACATGTGTCTATATATATATATATATTGATTTTTGATAAAATTATCGTTTAATAGATTGTAGGAATTTTTGTAGAAATTTTAAAAATATCTTTTATACTATTCAATCCATATGACATATCGTGTATCTGGTTCACGTTGATTAGAAATTTTTTTTTGTAATCTCTGTCTCTGTCGTTGGGATAAATCGAAAGACAAAATCCCTGACAAATGGGATACTTAATAAAATTCAATTCGGCAACGGCAGACGTGCTTTCTTATAGAATCTTATTTAGAAACGCTTTCACGGGAATAATGGATGTCCGTAATTAAATTTCCAGAAGAAGAATCGGACCTCCGTTGTTTGTCCGACAAAGTAGACATGTAGCTCGGCCGTGGAGTGAGTAAAAAAACAGAGAAGAAGAAAGGATAACACACTATTAAGACAAGACGCGCGCGGATTGGCTACGTTAATTGCTAAGGCGGAAAAAAAAGGGAAATAAAGAAAAGACTAAAGAAGGGTCGTTGAGGAAAATGAAAGTAAAAAAAAGTACGAGGTCTCATCGCAAGTGAAAATTTGAATTTGACAAACTAATCACGTTTCAAGTATAAAGGATGCGCTGAACAGATGATAAAACAGGGTCGAGTGTAAATTTACCAAAGTTTCCAACGAAGTTGAGAAATTCTTGTCAAGTTAGAAATTTGAATTTGAATTTATTAGACTTTTATAATTGACCGTGAATTTCCCTAGAGCGACGTATCTTACTTTTTCATTTCATCCATCTCTCCATTCTCAAAGGGATCAGACCCCATTGTCCTCCCATGGGAATGTAACAGGGTTGAGATACATACACAAAATTTATAAGATCCTCTCGTATTCTTGTACACCGAATAAAAGGTAGTGTCAGTTTAAATATTCAGAGAGACGTGATATTCTTTAAGTCTTGTTTGTCGCTTAAAAAAAAAAGATTTTTTTTTTGCCTGGAGGGTAACCAAATATCATAGTTCTCTCACTACAGTCAGCCTCTCGTTGATCGTTGCTGTTCGATTAGGTGCGGGGAAGATCGATAAGGCAAACACGGCCTAAAATAATAACACACATAAAAATATCGAGGAGTCAATATTTGCTCGAACGACACGAGTATTTGCTTAAGGCCTTCATAAATTCTCTGAAACGGCCTCAAAACGAATGGACGGCCCCTTTCGCGCGTCATCGAGTTTCCACAATTATATTCGCCACTCGTGGCATTATATTTTTTGCCTTTTACCATAGCGAGCTTTTGATAAATTCACGAGCCGCGGAGACTCTGGCTATTCGTAAGGGAGTAACGTGGGTTGCCGACGGCTACCTACATCAGACAGTATACGCACTCTGTTGAGAGAATGAAGACATGGCAAATGTTTCAGGAATGTCATGTCTAAATTGAAAAACAATATTCAAGTCAATCTAGCTACTAGCGGAGATACCCTGAGGACAGTTTTTTTACCATTCAAGAAGATTGGGTGCGTAGAAGTGTAAATATATAATACGGTATATCATTTGAGGTTAAAATTCGTCCCGTGTAAAAAGGGACGAAAACGATTACGTCAGATATCGCTGAGTTGAGGAAGAACGATCGACACGGAGGGCAGAGGTTGCGAGAGTATTAAAAAAAGATTCAGTGGAAAAATAAGTGACGGGGTATACTTGAGAAAGAAAATCTCATCATGCACCTGGTACCTGCTGTATCAAAATTACGATCTTAAGACGTACATAAATACATACGGTTATTCGGTATTGCATCGCCTGAGGGTGGTTCTATGGTAGGAATCGATTTGATGGGCTAACTTCAATTGGTACGGTATTCCTGAATAATACTATAGATACGTGTATATACAGTATCAACATAAAAATTATGTCCACGTTTTTTAAATACAGATGAGATGAAAGGGACTGTAATCTATGTGATACTTTTGTAAAGCGTCCTGTCGGTAAGGTAGGAAAAAAACTGCGAGATGACATTTTCTCTGCGAGACTGACTGCATTTGAAGTGCCTACCGCGTAAAAAGAGGTAGATGTTTTGCCTTGAAAAACATAGGTATAAGGTTGACGTTAGTGGGGGCTATTTGAATTTTATGAAATAGGAAAAAAAAGGCGAGAGGATAAAGTTAGGTTAGGTCAGGTCTTCGTCGTTTTAAGCATCGATCTGTACTTACCCTTATTGCAGGCTTTGAGTACTTTTTTATCAGAGCATCTTCATGCTTCTCACGTCCATTCAACGATTTGAAGCTTATTTTAAAAGACCATTCCTAGGCGATATGGCGACCTCGAGTACCGAATTGGCATCATTTGTGGAGGGTACTAGACAAAAATGACCCACCGATAAAAGTCGAGAATTCGTTCCTGGTTAGTGACGTAGGTACGTGCATTGGATCTCTGAATCCTGGATTATTGACTCAGCCCATTTCTCGACGAGTAAGGCAATCGCTCCCCTTCGCTGTAAGGAGGACTGGAAAATGGGACACGAGCCCTAGGAAAGTCGCGTGAGTTCATTTGGAAAAGTCCATTAGACTGGAGAATCGTGGGAATAGGAATATGGGGTGTAAATGGGGGTGGCACTTAACCGGTACTAAATAAGGGATGCAATTACTCCACGGTATTACATCATTGGGATAATTTTATTGGATAGTTGGAAATTATTCTGCTTGTTTTCATATACTTAAGTGACATACCAGTGAAAATGTGTAAATAAATATTACATAATCGTATATCGATAAATTTTGTATACGTGGATTACTATCTCGTGAAGATAATGCTTATTCCCTAGTGATTTTTCCAATCAATAAAGAAAATTGCACGTGCACTTAATAAATTGTATAATGACAATTTGTCAATATTAAAAATACTCAGCTTGCTCTTTCCAAGAGTCACAGTGCCTACCGCAGTAGGAGTTGAACCTTTTGAAAATAGAAATAAGAAATAGAAGTGAAAAGACCATTGAAATTTCTCGACGAAGCCTAAATAAACTTAGGTCGTCCCAGGAGAAATTTTGCCGTTGAATTTTTCTGGCTCAAAAAAGGATATAGCATGTAATGATACTAAAGTGGATTTAAGTGGAGGAAAAACCCAATTCAGATATTTGTATATAGGCGTATGTGGTTCGAGTTCAATTTCTTTTAAATCAAATATCAACGGATTCAAAAATTCTTTTTTCAGGTCTGAAGCACCTGTCAGCTGCAAAGGGCGAGGATATCGGGCAATATGTGAGGGCACGTGCGTACGCGTTTCTTTGCGTGCGTGCGTGCGTGCGTGCGTTAAGTCGTCGGGAATTACTTTTTTCTTTTTCTTTTTTTATTCACGAACGAAGAATCCCGAGGACATTGATAAATCAATTTCGCCGCCCGTAACAACAGTCGACGATCAATTGCCATCGAAATAAATAAAATGAGCTCTCGCGAGATTTTTAGATGATATGGAGGCCGAGGACGAAATGGACGAGGAATTGCCGGAAGCGGATGATCTCGAGGTGATTACAGGAAGGAATAAGATAATTTTGCATAATACATATACTTGCACCTTAAATTGAATTGGCTGAATCAAATCTCTGAAAGTAATAACGATGGCCTACGGGGAGTCTGGGAATTCTACAAAATAACATAATTGATTAAAATAAAGAGGAAAACCCCATTAAATTGATGAAGAATAATGAATATTTAATGTTGACCATAATTTTAATTGAATTCAGGTAAATCACAACAATAACCTCGAGAATTTTGGGACTATGAAGATTTCGACGATGTCAAGATCCTCGAAGACTCCTGACAGGGAGGACAGTGCTCTGGTGCAGTCCTCCCTGAACTCCGCACTGGATGAAAATTGTGATTCGGAGCTCGCAAGTGATTCTTCAGAGATACAGGAACCAATGCGAGAGGAATCAAAACTAACCTTAAGTTCGAGTACGAAGACTGACTTGAAGGAAGGCGATATCAGCAGGCTACGTAGGAGCAGACGAGTAACCTGTCAAGATACGATTCACGAGTCCGAGGAAGAGGAAGGACTTACAATGGACAAAGTAGCAAAGTACGTATGTATGGCCATTTGATAAGAAACCCATTGGAAAATGTATCGCAGAAGAAAGTAAGTAGGAACATTTCGCCATATCGTAAATTGGATATTATTTTTGTAAATCCAATCGCAATATAGATACCTGGAAGCCAATCCAATCGCAATTGAAGTATGGTTACGGGAAAAGGCGAGTCCCGATCTACGTCAGAGATTACAAAATTCAAGTCTCGTAACGAAATCATCGACCTCGAGTCTTCACCAAGAGGAGAATGTATTGAGCAGAAGTAAGCGTAATAGCGTGACATCTGATCTTTTCCAATCATGGTTAGCATCAAGTTCACCGGTGAAGAGGAGCAAGAGTCCTAGCAGGTGAAGATATCTTGATTTACTGTCCGCAGTAAGTGGTACTGGGTCCAGCCGGGACATTTTGAAATTTGTTTTCTCTCCAGGACATCGACGTCTCTCATGGGACGTAGAGAGGAACTGAATAGGCTCGACGAGGGTGACCTGTTCATGGAGTTGATTCGCGACGTGGCGAATGAATTGGATATCAATGTCCTGTGTCATAAGATACTGGTGAACGTCGGTCTACTTACACATGCTGATCGTGGTAGCCTCTTCTTGGCAAAAGGTCCCCTCGAGGACAGATATCTGGTTGCGAAACTTTTTGACGTTACCCAGGACACGGAACTGGAGGAAGCTGTGCAGAGAGCGAAAAACGAGGAGATCAGGATCCCATTCGGGGTTGGAATAGCAGGATCGGTTGCGCAGAGTAAGCAGATCATCAATATCAAGGACGCCTATAAGGTTTGTGGATATTAATATTTTTATTGTTAACGCTGAGGAACCATATCTTACCATAGAAATGGATATAACTGTAGAGAGTTATGACTATCCTAGGATCCGAGATTTAACAGTGCCATTGATATGAGAACGGGTTATAAAACCACATTGATCTTGTCCATGCCAATATGTAACTACGAGGGTGACGTGATTGGAGTAGCCCAGATCATTAACAAGACCAATGGCAGTAACGAATTTACTGACAGAGACGTAGAAGTTTTTCAAAGGTAATTTTCATCAATGCGGAACATAACCTTAATTATTTTTCTAATATACCTAAACGTTACACTTGACTTAGGTACTTAACTTTCTGCGGCATTGGAATTCAAAATGCCCAACTGTTCGAACTCTCGGTTCAGGAGTATAGGAGGAATCAGATACTTTTGAACTTGGCCAGAAGCATCTTCGAGGAACAAAACAATCTCGAATGCCTCGTTACGAAAATCATGACGGAAGCAAAGGAGCTGCTCAAGTGTGAAAGATGCGCTGTTTATCTGTTAGATTTGGATTGCGGAGAAGCGGTAAGAGCCTTATACCCCGTGGATCAAGAATAATTAAAGAAAGCTTTAAAATCTGGTAAATTTGATTAAAAAGTATTTTATCGATGCTATTGCTTTGCGTCGATTATAGCGACAATTCGATAGGTCGTACTATACTGTTTGAATGCCATTGAAATGGAATGAGTTCGTCTTAACCAATAATTTAGTCTGATTCTCCTGAGAGCTTAAGATACGTCTGTAGGCGAGAGACAATAATGGGGCGGAATTCGGGAATGAGACAGAGGGATATATCGATTTCTCAAACTCAGTAAAATTGATACCATTAATTACGAAATATAGCAGAAGAGAATAACAATTAAGTACAATTAATTCCAAGTTCAAAAGTGTGTCTATATTGCAGAGCCACCTGGAGAAAATCGTTGAACGACCTGGAAGATCGATTCAAGAAAGTCGAAAACCGTTGTCTAGAAGAGAGGTAATTAAAGTGGAACTTAAAAATTGAACCGAGCTGTATCGAATAAGATAATTATGTTTTAGAGTAATAACATTGATATGGAGGATATATTTCAGCAACACGTAAGTATATTGGATAAAGTTTGTGACGTTGCCATTATCAAAAAATTGACTTGGCGAGATGTTAAATGTAAGAATAAAATCCAAAAGGCATTTAGCATCATACGAAATAATGAACTAGGCAACCAGCGGCAACAAGTTCACGATGGTATTCGAAATGGAAAACGAAACTCAGGAAGCTCGTATATATCGACCAAGTTCGAGCAATCTTTCGAGTCCCTTAGGACAAATTGCCAGATACGTAGCAACGACCGGACAAATTTTGAATATCGGTGACGTGGCAACGTGGTTGAAGAGAGAGGTCCTCGACGCCGGAAGTGACCCAATTAGAAGTATCCTATGTATGCCAATTGTAAATGGGCAACGAGTGGTCATTGGAGTGGCACAGCTGATTAACAAGGTAAGAAATTACTGAAAATTAAAGATATTCGATAGTCAATAAATATCTGATAAAATTGAAAGATTTAAATAATTGTCCAGGACAACGGAACTTCCTTCACGGATTCGGATGTCTCGATTTTCGAGGCATTCGCCATTTTTTGCGGTCTCGGTATACACAACACACAGATGTACGAATCAGCTTGCAAGTTAATGGCTAAACAGAAAGTCGCTCTGGAATGTCTAAGTTATCATGCTACGGCAAGCAACGAAGACGCTCTGAAGCTCACGTCAGATCCAATTCCTTCGGCTGAAAAATACAACCTTTACAGCTTCACTTTCATCGACTTCGATCTCAAGGATGAGGATACGTGTAGAGCTACCATAAGGATGTTTAAGCAATGCGATCTCATTCAGAGATTTCATATACCGTATGACGTTTTGTGTCGCTGGATATTAAGTGTGAAAAAGAACTACAGGTAAATTACTAATGAACAATCAGAACTGAAGTTTTAAAGCTTCAGACAAATTTTTGATAACCAGGTAAATATTTTGTTTCATCCACGTCTCACAGACCAGTCAAGTATCACAACTGGAGGCACGCGTTGAATGTGGCTCAGACGATGTTTGCCATGTTGAAAACTGGCAAGATGGAGCAATTCATGACAGACATTGAGATCCTGGGACTATTGGTAGCTTGTCTTTGTCATGATTTGGATCATCGTGGTACAAATAATGCTTTTCAAACGAAAACAGAGTCGCCACTAGCGATTCTCTACTCGACCAGCACCATGGAGCACCATCATTTTGACCAGTGCGTCATGATACTCAATTCCGACAGTAATAACATCTTCCAGAGTCTTTCCATGGAAGATTATAGAAAAGTCATGAGGGTCGTGGAGAACGCCATCCTCTCCACTGACTTGGCCATGTACTTTAAGAAGAAGAATCGCTTCATGGAGCTCATAGACGAGGGCGAGTTTGATTGGCAGAGCGAAGAGAAGAAAGAGTGTAGGTTTCATGTAACAAAAAGAGAGTGCCGTTTTCAATGTTATTGAATTAAAATATTTTTTTTAGTGTTATGCGGTATGATGATGACAGCCTGTGACGTGAGCGCCATTGCGAAACCCTGGGAGATTCAGCATCGCGTCGCCAAGTTGGTAGCTGATGAATTCTTCGACCAGGGTGACCTGGAGAAATTACAATTAAATCAGCAGCCCGTGGCGATGATGGATCGGGAGAAACGGGATGAACTACCTCAGATGCAGGTAGGGTTCATCGACGTGATATGTCTGCCGCTGTACAGGGTCTTATCGGACACCTTCCCCTGGATCATGCCACTCTACGAGGGTACCATGGAGAACCGTAGGCACTGGCAGGATCTCGCCGAGAAGGTGGAAATGGGTCTGACCTGGATAGACAGGGATACCATTGAAGAACCTGTAGAAGAGTTTGTCTCTTCGGAACCCAAGGATATTGAATTCACAGTCACCACCCTGAACTGTGCTCATACAGACAGGAAGGAAGGCGAACCAGAAACTTCCACGCATGTACCAGAAGCCGCCAAATCATCCCTTGGCAAATTTGCGTCTCTTAGAAAGGGTGGCAGGACCTTGAGCAAAGGCGTCAGACATAGGTTCAGTAGATCCTTGTACGCCAGGAGTAGCTCCGAGGACACTGGAAAAGCCAAAGTTTTACTACCGGAAAGGAAGAACAGGAACAAGCTTTGCTTACTCATTTGACAACTGACATCTGCCACCGTGGACAATACTCCTGAGTGACTGATGATTCTAGAGATTTAGGATCTTTGCGTGATTAAAAAAGACAAAAGCCTAAAGTGGCTTCCGACGGGATAGTGATTCCTGTTACACCTGGATAATCAGTGTTTAGGATTTTGGAACTTTTAAAAGTACTATTGACAGGTCGAAGGACTTATTCAATGGAAAACCAAAAGATTTTAATGATCAATCTGAGTATGAAGAACGATTAAGATTTTGTCTGATCCTTGTCAGTGCTAATATCCAAAATCGAACTGTCGCTAGACCTTGTTCGATTTCGCGATACAAAAAAAAGTCGTAGAGGGAAAAGAATTTTCTAGAGATTAGGAGGAGCGTAGAATAGAATATGGCTAGGCGATTAGATGGCGATGACGGCTTCTTGTCGTCCTATGAATTGCTCACGGTCGTACAGGTAAAAAAAAAATTGAGACGAAAAAAAAAAAGCAAAAGCAAGCTACCAGGTATTAGTGAATGTGGTAAACAGTAGGCAAAAGAAACAGAAGATAAAAATTGGGGCGATAGACGAAATGGAAAAATTGTGAAAAAAATATGTTGAATTTTGACAATCTTTTTCTATAATTTGAATATACTAGGATAGACCAGGCGACACGTCGATGTCTTCAGGCTGAAAATGGCGAGCCTCTTATCCTTGGAGTGAATTCGCTAAAAAAAAGGAGCCAGTAGATCGTAAGGTAGAAATTAAGTTAGATCGTTATCCATTTCGATTCCCCATTTTACAATGTGATCTGCAAGGTCGAAGATGTATTTTTTGAATGTTCATCCCCCTCTAAGAGCAAAGTCCCTGAAATACCCTCGTTCGATCGTTACTCCCTTGTCCTAGTTAATTAATATTGCCAATGGCGAATCAAGACAAAGATTAGTCTCGTCGATCACTGTTGATGAGTTTCAGCTATTAAGTTACATAAGTGAAATCTATTTCTAGTCTTTTGATATAGCTGTGAACATTGAGAGAACATTAAATGAGATTCAATAAAATTTTAATGTACACGAAGTGTCGATGTATTTCCTCTTCAAGAAAATAATAAGACCTGTCAGAGAAAGTAATGGAAAAAAAAAAATACCACAAAGTAGATTAAAATTGAAAAATAATAAGTGAACAATTTTATGAAAGACCAATGGAGTATCTGCTGTAGATCTGCAAGGAGTGGATTTACGCTGATTTTATTAATAAAACATTTAGAAATTACATTCAAACCATGATATCATTTATAATTATTAATTCTCAGTTATTTGGTCCTACTATTAAATTAATTATAACAATCTGTTACTTCTCAATAATCCATAGGTCGATAATGTTCTATTTACATATTATGCAATTCACTTGTTACAATTGTCGAGGGAGACTCGTGGGATACCGCACGACCTGGTGCACGCGTCATCCTGGAGTCACGATTACATAACGGAATTCGCACGATCGACGTCTTCGGTGGCTTTTGGGGCTTCGACAAATAGAGAGAGCTTTCCTTTTTTTTTAAATTGAGTTTCGTTACAATCGACCCACCTGGCACCGAGGACAAACTACTATACATATATGTACATATATGCTCAGGCAGTGATGCGCTGTTTCATGTGTCTGTACGAATCCGCAAGTCGTCCTATCGTCACGAGAATTCATCTCGTTTTTATAATCAGGAAGAGGCGGCTATGATTGAGAAAAACTAGTCGAATTTTCTTCTCTTGAATATGTGAAAAGTTGGAAAAATCTGTTTTCAACGATCCTGATACATTTGCTGAAATGTTATAATATAGATTTATATGCTGGAATCATTTAATAATATATCAAAATATCGTGCATATAATTATTCAGGCAAGAATGGGATAAGTTATGTCATGAAAAGAAGAAAAACAGTCTCATAAATATACATATATTCTCTTAGTATATATTTTTTTAATGTCTTGTAAAAGAGGTACTTAGATGTTATGTTGTAAAAAAAGTTGCTCGTAGTCTCATTATTCTTTATTCCCATTGTCAAGGTGCACCGTAAGCTTGTATAGTCATTTCAAAATTGATGGACATAGGAAAATAATTGCATGTGATTTTCCAATACCGCCCATTCCCGATTACTGCATATCGTTTAAATTGAAGTGTCCTAATTTTCTCTCCCTCGTACATCGTACATTTGCTATAATATTAAATTATCAATTTAACGTTTTTTCACTTTTATGAATTTTTTTTTTCATTTTCTTAGCCAATCCATGGATTCCTCATCGCAAATCACTTTCGCGAGTATTTTTTTCGACCCAATTTGCACAGCGAATGCATGTTCCATCGAACGTCCAACCTATGATCCTAGCAATTACAAATGAACTGCATTTAAAAAAGGATCGTCACCCACTCCTACCATATATCATGATACAATAAAAAGATAACGATGGAAGCTATAACGTGGAAGGAAGAAGTAACAATTATGTAAATACCTAAGAACCTTGGAACGTATTCCTCATAAATTATTATCCATGAAATCATTGGGTATTCCGAAAAAAAAATAAAATAAATTAATAGGATCAAGTCGCACAATGGCGCTCGATACCACCTTTGCTAGAGATATGTTTCTTTCGTGTAATTAAAAACTGAATCTATTGCCCTTAAGTACCTTTCTGTAAATGCAACAAGCAACGAAGGAATTTCGCTTGAACAATGCCGACACATATAATAGAAGAAATAATAATCAGCTAACCACGTTCTATAAGTTTTCCATATAATTTTCTAGATATTTTCCTCGCACGTGGATTATTATAGAAAATTTGAACTAACGGCGATACCGTTGTTAAGTCCTTTTTTTTAATACGCATCCATGATAAATCATGAATCATGAGGGGATCGACAACGATAACGCTCGTAGCTAACGGGAATGCCGCTACGAAATGAGAATGAACTCTTTCACTGTGCAAAAGGCAGTGGTTCGCGCTTCACCAAATCTTGCAGGTATTGAACGAAGGAATTCACTGTCGTAACCAGAATGCACGTTAACGGGAAATACCAGGAATACCAAAAAGTAAATAGTAGAAAGATTTTGCATTCCTAAAAGATGCCCTTAACGTCTGTTATCTTACGCAGTTTTAATTATCTACGCGGTAGCAGCCCAAGTCGTGGCCAAGAGACGAGGGAGTCAATCTTCATATCGTGTAATAGTAAAACCAGTAGTCGTGCATGATATTCCCAGTCACAATGACGTTGTAGTAATAATAATAGTATGTAGCCACAGTAGTATAAGATCCTTAGTCGTTGCATGGAAAATGAACAAGGTACTCACGGTACCTCTTGATTCATTATCCCACTACGAGTTTGTTAAAACTCACCTCGCGCGACTGGCGGAGGCAGGCCAGGTTGGGACGCTACGACATCCTGATACACTGTAAACAGCCTGTGGGTGGGTCTTTCTGATGAAATGGTGAAGGTGAGCGGGTCACATGAAGAACTCCGTGGATCGGCTAACATGCAGTCACGACGCGGGTCTATCCAGGACCGATATTTCTATTAACCTAAGACCTCGCGTGGTTGGGTCTGTGAGGAGTAATCCTCGTGGTCTGTACACTCTGTCATTCTGTTCATTCACGAATTTGGCCACTTTCCGCAAACATTTTTCATAATGTGTATCCGTGCAGATGTAGATTAGATAGGCAGTTAGACAGGCAAGGCAACCTTCGCAGTATGTTGAACAACTGGCACGTTCTGCCTCAGCGAAGTAGTTGTTCAATTGGTTGATCGTGTATTCAAAGGATTGTCTGTCCAGCTAATGAAATTAAAGAGAAATTATTTAATAAATTTATTTATATACTTTGTTAATGATACTAGCGATTTTTATTTACTGTTTTAAGGAATTTAAAAGTAATGCAACACAAGGTTTAGAATCAAAGAATAAAGCTTGATTTAAAAAAGTACATACCCTGTCTCCAAGTTCTGAAGGGAATCTAGTTTGAAATTTGACCATAGTACCCTCACTGTAATCTCGCTGAATAAAAACTTTCAGGCAATTTTGAGGTGGCCCTCCTCCACCTTGACCTCGAGCACCTGACATGTCTTCCAAAGGTGTAAGAGCTGTGTGATTTCCCTGTGGAATACAAACTTATCCATTAATTATGATATGTATTACATATATTTTTCATGTCCAATAAATTTCACAAGCTTCATCAATGTACTATCTGATAACATATCTGTAGTAAGAATCTGAAATCTACAAGTGGTTTTTCATTCAGTACTCTCATTCAATAATTGCTTTATAGTTCCATAAAAAATTATTTTTCATTTTTAAGCTAATAAAATAATTGAATGCAACCTTCATGCAATACCGACACGTCAAAACCAGTCTTAAGTCAAACATGCAAACTAAATGTACCCATCAAATAAACCAATTAAAATTAGCATAAGAATTTAACCTAACTTTTTACATAGAATAGCTATCTTTGCAAATGAAATAACAGACCCATGAGACATCTAACCAAAAAATAATCCATGACCCAAGGGTAATAAATGAGAAACTCAAAAAGCGTAGTTAAACCAAGCATATAGAAAAGGTTCATTTGCTACTAATAATCCCAATAAATAAAACAAGATAAACTGACGTGTTATCGTGATAAAGGGGATTGTAGAATCTTCAAGATTCGGAAATGTTTTGGCCAAGTTTTGACAGGATCCAGAATGAAAGACAGAGAGAGAAAGTGCGTGTAGTACGAACTTACCAGGGACATTTTGAGCTTCGTCGTGAACGCGGTAAGAAGAAAAAGCAAGCAATATTAAACCCGCAACCGCCGATAGCTTTGCACGGATAATACTCACTAATTATCAGTTTTCAGCTGAAATTTTTATCAAATAGATAAGGAGACACCGCGCTCTCCCATCGAAGGCGAACGCACGACCTGGTCGCCATTAATAATGCGCGGACACACTACGCCTTTCTGCTCTCTCGTCATCATACTCATCCTCCATTTCTTGATCTCTTTTAAAACTAATCCACGCTTTGTTATTTATTACCCGTTCATTGAATTTGTAGGTTGCACTATAAACTGGTAACGAGTGCAATCAAGAATGTGCTGCTCTACTTCATTTGCTACTTTAACTTTGCAGTAATTCTTGCAAATTGTATTGTCAAACTGCTTAGCTATAGTTTGTTTTTATATGCGACGATAATATTAAAATGTAAATATAGTTAAACTCACTTGCTAATTGATTATTATTGAGAAAATTATTTTACCTTAACGATGGACTTGTTGATGGTGAACATTTTGCGTGCTAAATGTAATATTTTATTCATGATATCTATAACGAATATATCTGCCTTGCTAGCGCATGTCCTTCTTGGTTTCGCATGAACTAGACATAATACTATGTTGAGCGGAAAACGATGTTATTGTGTTCCATTTTACAAGTTCTACAATCGGAGTAATATATCTTAGTGAATACTATATTAAAATATCGTAGTTAAGAGAAAAAGTGTTTAAAATTTGGTAATAAAGTTAAGGTACAAGTAAGTTTGTATATTATTATTTTTCTGTTAAATTATAGTTTGTGACTCGTTAACACATTCCAATGAAGTTATTTTATTTTTGTTGTGATAACTTAGTAAGCAAGAAATTTCATAAAATATCAGTATAAAGTAGGAATCTTTTTGTAATTGATTAGTATAGTAATAAGACATTCATAAGAAAGACTTGATCATAAATATTGAAAAGTTAGCTACTGCAATGTGATTTAATTTTTTTAACCTATTATTAACAATGATACAGCAGTTTTATTGTTCTTTTATGAAATATTATTTTTTTATAATTGTAAATTTTCGTGTGTACTGTTACAGGTGATTCCGCGGTATGGACAGTCAAGTGTGTGGAGATGGTAGATTGTTGGATCTGATTGACGATGCTTGGAGAAAGGAACGGCTTCCAATTGATGAAATTATAGTACCTCAAACTGAACTACCTGATCCTGAAAGTGATAACGGCGATTCTCATATGACACTTAAAGAACTTGAGCAAAAATGGAATAACCTTGCACTTGGCACACTTAGCGAAAACCATATGCATTCTCCAACTCCGTCTCATAATTAAGTTTATTACAAAAATCATTGGGAGATATTTATTACAGATCATTTATTTCTTTACAAATATATCAGTTATATTAGGTGTATTATAATGGAGTTTCCTAGTGTTGGGATTCGTTGCTCTGTTAATGGCTGCAAACAGTTAGATTTTTTACCATTCACGTGTCTTCATTGTCAGGCAATTTTCTGTAAGAAACATTTTAATGTAACATCCCATGCCTGTTCAAAATTCATTGATAATGTCGTATCAACAAAAGAAAATTCAGCTAGTTACTGTTGTTCTCAAGATTCTTGTGAGCAAACTTCACCTGTTGAAATGAATTGTGTCAAGTGCAGATTACACTTTTGTCTTGCACATAGATACCATGGCTGTTTAGAAATTAGTGAGGAACAAAAAGCCAAAGAATTGGAAAAATGGCAGAAACCTAAACAGGAATTTGTACAAGCTAAGGCAACTGTAGATCAACAAATTACAAACTCTTTGAAGAAGGCAAAGAATACATCCATGGCTAATAAAGTATGTAGCTTTGAAATGAAGGATTTAGAGTTTTTGTAATTAACAGTAATGTGATTTCCTTCAAATTGCCTATATGTAATGTACTGTAATAATTTTTCGTCTGCTTATCTAGGTGCAGTTAATGCGATTGAAAGGTCAAGCTCTTGGTCCAACCAGTATACCATCCACAGAACGAAGATATTTTCTCATATATCCACCAATTACAAATTCTGCTAAAACCATTGGAAAACCAAAAGCTGCATTTGTTTGTGTTCGATGGTCTCTTGGCAGAGCCATCGATGGCCTAGCAAGTATCCTTGGTATACCAAATACGAATAACGTAGCAAGTGCAAAAAAACTAAAGCTATTTCATCATATCAGTGGAAGTTGTGTGTCTGAAAAAATGGATGTACTTTTATCAGAACTATTGGACAGTTCCAGTCTTACTGACGGTCAAAGTTTAATTTTGGAATATTCTGATACAGCAGAAATAGATTCATCTTTATACAATTAAAATCTATGAAATAGTAAAACAATCCTTATTTTGTATCGTAACACTGCATTAATTACAGTACTCTTTATTAACGTACATGAAGTAACCTTTATTCTTAATAAAAATACAAATCCACAATAATCCATTCATTAAAAAGTATCACAGATATGCCTTCACTACAGTTAATCTCAGAGTTCCCTGTAGTACGTTCAATTGGAAATAACTGCCAGTTTTCAATAATTTATGAAAAGCCAACATAGCTATCGATATTTTTAAGTTCAGGTACCTATATATTAGCTAGATTCAACTAATAAACGGCGTGGTATGCTTGTTCCGAAGTTTATGATACAAATAACAAAGCCATGCCGAAGCGGGCACAAGAGCAAGACACGCCGGTATCAAGAAGAGACCAGAAAATCGAAATCTTCCCCAATCTTCGTTACGACTGGAATTACTAAGTGGCGTAAAACTCAATGGAAGATACACTGTTAATTCAGCACCCTGCATGGTCCACCCTTTATAATTAATTGCCAAACACGCATAGTAGCCAGTGTCTTCAGTAGCTGGCCGATCAAAACTTAATTTTGACAAGTATAATTGATTACCTAAATATATTTGATTACTCGGCAACATTTTCCAAACGGCATCTCGATATGTTATCGCATTCTCTTCATTCGATTTAGGGACACTACTGAATTTTCGAAACCAAACAACGTTCGGATGGATACTGGAACGCACCCGGCATTGCAATGATACTTTTTGTTCACCACAGCATGGAACACTGACATTCCAAGGTCCTTCTACTATTTCTGGTCGATATACTGTACCATCTATCATGAAACAAAAAACATGTATGCCGGTAAATTAATTCATAAAACAGTATCTCTTCACGATGCTGGACTTACCAATTATTTCAAGCTGGAACATGCGCACTACCTTAAAAGTACGGTCGTGACGTATCGTGGTACACTTGTACAAACCGCTATCAGCCTTCGTAGGCGATTCTAAAACTAGTTCACCAAGATGGTTTTGATTTTGTACCAGTTGCCATTCAGTGTCAGTAGTCAGCGCACTTCTCACGACTTTACATGAAGTTTGATTATGTCCAGATCCACAAGGCTGAGCATAAGACAGAATTGAGAATATGATTACAATTAAATGATTGACTTATACCATTTACTATTTGATTTATACTATGATAATAGACATATCTCTTTTATAATTACCAAATAATGCCACTGTAATTGTCGATGCGATGAATGATGCGCTGTATATTGACATTTAAGATGTATCTTTCGACCAGCACGTGCCTGTATTACATTCCCTCGTGTATTTATATTACTGCCATCAACTAGTTCTTTACTAGCACCAAAATCCAAAGTTTCTAAATTGTGTTGACTCTCTGCTTCTGACCAGTACGTCAGTAATGATAGAACTATATGGAATGTACCTTATGAGTATCTCAATATTACTGAGTATACATATAAAATTAAACTATACACATTATAAATACAAAAATTAGGATATTTAAAATTGGGGAAAAATCATAAGCTTTTACGACTCGTGCTGTTTCGAACGCGGAGTTGTGCGTGCTTCTTGATTTGTTTGAATTTAACATTTTACGATCGCCTTAAGCATCGGCTAATACAGTCTCATAAGAGAAGTTAATGTACTATATAATTTTATTGCACGGATACGCAATAAATATTGTATACAACAAATGAAGATATCAAAAACTTACTGGGAAACTCAGATTCCTGTCTAGGAACAGCAATGACAGCAATACTTAAGCTCACAGCTAAGAGAACTACTGCGCCCGTATACATTGTTCCTTTGAAGTATTCCCAAAGTTAAAAGTGCTGGTTTATTTCATTCCGACCAGGAGCAATTCTAATATTTATGATCTGTTTATTAGTCCGTACTCGGCTTGTTTGACTTTTGATATTTTTAGATCGTAGCCAGTATGCGGCCCGATGTGACCCTCAAAGGAAATTCATAGACTATTCTTACTAATCTCTACCCTCAATTATAAAAATTCATATAATGATTCACAAAAATTTCAACCGGCTTCAAAATTCACTTTTCATTTTAAAAAACTAATAATAATCAGCAGTAGCATAAATAGCAATTGTTGAAAATTAACAATAAGGTTTGTATAAAAAATTTCTCACAAAACAACCGCACCACCTACAAATATTTTCACTGCGTTACGTTAAGACACAATGATCGTACAAGATATTCGTAAAATTCCATTGCCAAGTGCGCACATTGCAAGCCGCATTAATTACATACGCCTGATAGTTTTTTTCCTAACCGAATACCATTTACATTTTTAGGGCAAGTGCAAAGATTTTATATCGAACAGCTCGAAATTGAACTCCGTACAAGTTTTATGGCCCCAAGCTGATTGACTGTAGGAAACGTAGTTCAACATACGTAGTTTTGTTGGTCCCCTTTCCCACAGATATCGGCTACCGATAGGGACAGATGGACAAACACAAGCTGGACGTTGATAAAAATTCATGCATGTGTGTTAGACATTATTGGATGAACACAAGCTACTGATATATAAGAAATATATTATCTCAGGTAGATAAGCTCCGCTGTCCCTGCCGTGATATCAAACCCGGTACTCCCATTGGCAACTATACGTAACATCATATATATATATTACACATTATATTCTGTCTGAATAGCCTATAAAGCAGAATCAAACTACGGCATATCCGATTGACAATATTTGCTGAGAGCAAATCAATAAGATTCTTTAATCCTTAAATACACATGACATACCACGCCAATTAAAATATCTTATACCTAAAAGTCTTGTATATAGAGATGTTTTGATGAAAGACTTTGAGCTCTAATATGGATTCTATAAATTGATTAACGGAACCGTCTAGTTTATTCGTAGTTTATTCACTGTGGTGGCAAAAGGATATTACACTATATAGTACTTAAAACTAGGTAAGGTTCTACACGATACTATCACGTCAATAGTAAGACACGACCGTCGCGAAACACTATAGTATCTCTCACATGTCCTTTGTTCTGATAAATCTCGCATATGTGAACGAAAGTCGATTCTTTACGATGATTGTACTAAGTTTTGATTATTAGAAGAAGAAAAGTCAAGTTGCTTATGCACATGGTCCCCCAATGTTGCCGTCTTATTAGCTGATACAATTTCAAACTTTATGATCACGAACATCGAACTTAAAGCAACGGCTTAGGACGAATGTATACACGAGATAAATAATAACTAATATGGTGGAGATTCCTGACAATGATTAGTTCATCAAGTGTGAACTGTCATTAAGATATCACATGCAATACCAGTGACCAGATAAGAACACTGTTATTCCAATGTTGAGTCAGTTTGTTACGAAATCTTTAAAAATAATAGACAGCTTTTTATCACGTAAAATTCTGGAAACTATTATGGTATTGGGTCTAATTTTCTTTGTAACAAGAATGGATACACATTTTTAGATTTCCATAACGAAACTTTTGCACGTTATAATGTTACGTGTGATTAAACGCTTATGACGTTGCGCGATCATAAATTTGAGTGCTCTAGCCCAGTTGTTCTTCTCGACGGTTTTTTTTTCTGCGAGTGTTCGAACAGAGAACGGAGATACTTTTTTTAAATTTATATAGTGAGAACTTGCGAAAATCAATGCGATAACGGTCGTGTCTCACTCGTTTACGTCAATTTGTTTCACATGTGTTATATCCGTTTGAATAAAAAAAAGTAGATTAAAAGACTCAAATACCTTATAACAAACTATTGATCATAGAGTCGTACTTACAACAATAAAAATTAATAAGTTTATGCACTCTTATTGTCAGATCTTGTTAAAAGAAAGAATAGCAAATGCACCGAAATTTCGCTAGAGATTTAACGATGGTCAGATTTTGGCACTGGAAGTTTCTTCGTTTATCGAGTCTCTCGACGAACTAATAGCGATGCCAAACTAAAGCGCAAATTCATTTTAAGATGGTTTATATGATAATTAGTTCATTAATTGTGCTTAATGACCGTCTCAAGCTAATTAAATAATACAATTGTTACATAAAAGATGTGCGTTCTTTTTACGATACACACATTTCAATGATATCTGAAGCAAACTGAATATCATTATGAGTAAGAATCCATCTAAAGTCCACGATGTTGATTTCTCTGACGCGAAATGCATTCGCAGGCTAAGTTCTTTTAAGGGAGGAACGGCACAGCCAACCCTAAAATATTCAATAGGTGGCTAGGATTAGTGCATTGGACGTGTTAAGATATTTCACCTCGCGTCACTGAGTACGGGTGCTTTCATTTAAGCAATAAAAAAAAAATACTTAAAAATACAAAATTTGTTAATACTAGTGTTAAACATACTCTATTAATTATCATATGTTGGACCTATATTTCAAACGCTTGTAAATATTACTTTTCGTGTAGAAAACAAAAGATATATTCAAAATAATACCTCATCGAATTAGACAATTAACTGGAAGCTGTGTTTCTTAAGTTAATCATTACGAATAAATTCAATAGTGTACCCTTCAATAGTGAACATATTTTTCCTTAAGCAACTGCTCTCTAATACCATTCCAAATAAAATGACCAACGGACGAAAAGCGGTCTACAGTTGTCGCTAGCGAACATCTAGTCCGTTAGACCCTTCTTTGCTGCTCTCAACAGTAAATCAAGAGGGAAGGGATGTTCACTATTCAGAGGGTTCGATCCTGAGTCCATTAACTATTGAGAGCCATGATTGTAGAATAATTTGAGAAATACTGATGAGAAAATAAAGACTTCTTGTAAATGCAACGTAAAACGAAAATTGGGTTTAATCTAGGTACCCAGGAGATTCTTTATAATTTACCCAGAGTGGTGACGCAAGAACAAAATATTTCGACAGATATAAGGCAATCGGTTACGTGATCTTTCATTTAAGTGGAAGTATACGAATTACCCTCTACGAAGATACGACTGAAAATAGTTCCTGAAGTACAGTATGAGCCTGATCAGAGAGAGAATGCAGAGGACATAGAGAGAGATGGCGAACAGGACGAGCAGTGCCATTCGAGCGTTTACACTGGTCTCGGCTTCCTGGCCTCGTGTTTGGCAACTGGCCACCTGCCGACTGACTGAGGAATTGACTTGGTAGCGGTAGGTGGCCTGAGGTCAGGCTCAGGAGTGCCAGCGCGACTTCTGCAGCTCAATTTGTCCTTCCAGCGTTTTTGCCAAATAAATCACAAATAGTTGACTCAGAGCAATACCCAACGCAATTCCAGCTATAGTATAAAGGTTACGCTCTGCCCAGCTTCGTACAATTTCTATACAGCCACTTGTCCATACCTTCTTACTGGCCTCTGATACTGGTAACATCTGAACCTTGTATCCGCACATTATATTGATCAGACCACTCTGTGAAATTCCAAACGTCAATATTACTGTCGAGAGCCCCCTTTCTTAAAATAACCTAGATTGTATTGTCGAGTCACTTTTAAGACAAATAGTAATTAAGATAAACTCACAGAAATGGACGTTGCATTCATACAACAGGAAAAGGGTACACCACAGCGTTCTACACTAGGGCTAGAACAGTTGAAGTACTCATTTTTTCCCCAATCCATGTAACCCTCTTGGCTCAACCCACAGCACCTGAACTGTTGAAAAATATTAACTTATTTTTATGAACCCACTGCATGAAGCTGTATTTTTTAATGCATAATTTTTATTATATTTTATAAGAGAAGATTCTTACCTCTTGTTGGCCAAAATCAATAAAGTTTTGAAGATCAGGATCTTCTCGATAGGTTTGAATGATTTTGTCAGTAAATGATTCTTCTAAAAGTGACTGCAACGTATGTGGAAATACAAAGCCTACTATAGCAACTCCCATTTCCAGAAGGAAAAATACCAATAAGCAGAGGGAGTACTGTAATGATATAATTTATTAATTAGGGCCCAATAAACTATGATGATACTCATAGATGTCATATACAAATACTAACAAATTTAAGAAGACAAGTGTTCTCTCGGAGTGCTCCAACACATCCAGCAAAGCTGACAATAAATACAACTCCTCCAGCAATTACCATCACAAGAGAAATGTTGAGAACAACATCATAAACATTTTCCACTCTCACAGAACCAGTTGCTTGCCATTTATCAACAAAGGCATATAGACCCACTCCAATTAATAATCCACCAAAGAGCTGTATGGAGAAAAAATGGTTATTCCTATTACAGAATATTTACAACATCTAATTACTTATAATTTAAGCTTTGATTTGAATGTAATTCCATAATTATAGCATAATTTAAAATAAAAATCAAATAAAAAATATTTCTAAGTAAAGTGTAGATAATGAGATATTTTTCTTATGAGCTAACATTTAAATTAGTTTGTAAAAAGAAATGATGCTACATAGGCGTGGACCTTCCGGCATTAGCAGTTTAACACATTCTAATCATAATATCTTAAACAAATATTGGAAGAGATGTACTTACCCAAAAGACAAAATTGAGCAGAAATATCATGTATTTTACGCACGAGCTAACGTACGTATAGTTTGTTGTGCGTCTTCGATTATTCATTTTGGCCGTAAGTAATTATTTTTCCAGTATTGTCGCTTCAATTTTTCCAAGAAAAATGTTATATCCTCTTAGTCCCAAACAGTCACAAACTATACGTCCACCTTCATGTATGAGCTACGCCACTATGATGCCCGTTAATTTCATTATGAAGTCCCAAGAATAAGGTTATCCGACTCTTTGTTTATGTTTAATTGTTTGCGTAAGAAACTGAATTGTAAATCTTGCAAAACGACGTTTAAAATCGTACTAATCTGCAACATTCTTTGACAGCTTGCTTCGGATCAGCCATTACGGTTCAATTCCAACGTTCCATGCTCGCGCATCAACATATTCGTCACTTATCAACAACAGAGGTCAGTAGGGAGATGCACAACGCTACGGTTTTAGGCGAAACCAAAAACATGGCGCTAAATTGTAGCGGCGAGTCCGGGAATAGAATTTTGGGATCATCGCCTCCGTCGATAATGCATATCCCGTCGTAGCCGAGCTGAACGTGATCACGAACGGGTAGCCTGGCGGGCAGAGATTCTCCACAACTTACAACTGATTCCCAGAGCAACCCTTAGAAAGAGGCCGCTTATCAGATATTGCCTAAATACTTTTCTTCTTTGCAATCCTAAATTCGATCGCACAGTGTAAGCTCGGTAAGTTTAATATGACAAAAGCAAGCAACTCACGTCTGCCTGCACTAAAGCGTATGATGCCACAAGCATATTTAATACATATTTTACCGATGTTGCGTAGCAGAACGATTGTTGAAACCTATCAGGAACTGTAGAACTTCTCGAGAACTATTGAAAAAGCCTATTGTTGAATCATTTTCAAGAGATTTTAAAAAAGTGCGATGCTGGAGCTGACATCCGTGTAGCACCTCCATTTTTGTAGTGTTAATATAATATGTATTATATGTATTAATATAATATGTATAAATATGTATTTTAATAGAGAGTCCACAGTGTTCTTCTCTCGTCGGTGCGCTATAAACGCGGAATTGGCAAAATCCAGAAGACTCGCGTGGACGAG